ACTGTTAACATCAAAAATATTTCTTCATGGTGTGACTGTGATCTCCATATGGAAACCTTGCAGGAAAAGAATTAATGTCAATTGTCAGCTCTTCAAAATTCTTTGGACTTTAACTTGCAGTACCATATCCAGTTTGCTTTGATATTTTGTTTTTTATTCCATGTTGAAGTTGAACACCAAGCTCCAGATATAGCAGGCAGCTTGATCATCTTCGGCCTTGGTATAATATCAGTCCAAGTTCCAGTGGTGGGTATCTTCTAATATTCAAATTAAGATGAAAAGCAATAGGCTTTCTCAGCGCCGACGACGGATTTCACGTTGATAAAAAAGGGAGCTCAAGGTCAGCAAAACTCGGGTTCAAGGAATGGCGGGCGTTGAAATGACTGCTGACGTCATCAAAAAACCGCTAATGGTTAAGAGATAGGGACTAAGCTGGTCCCACCCTGCAAGTAAAGGGAAGAAATTTCTTGAACACCATAAAGCTGCGGGGGTTGCGACCAGGATAAATGGTGGTTTCTGAGCCTGGCCGCAAACTTGGCTATCTCAACTCAAAACTAATGTTAAGGTGGGATGGTCCCTTTAATGAATTGGCATGAAAGTGATATCCCTTGGTTCAGAAAGAGCGAAAACGAATATCTACCAAATTTCGCCGAAAAATATTCACTGGTTTTCAAGATATTAGGCTTTTACTTTTGTTTACTTTTTGGGATCTCCCCTGTTACTAGCGACTTTATTTGGAAGCAATAATTTGGCAGCCTTAAAGTGCGGCAGACGTTGCGCGCAAAGCAGCGTATACTACCACGTGTTAACGATGGTTTTAGACTAAGATTTAAAAATCGTTAGATCTCCGCTGACGTCACAAATTCTAAGGGGGCATTCCAATGCATTAGCCCCTTAGAATCCGAAAACTGCAAGTTTGAAATTCCATATCTTCGAATTAAAGCATTTTTCGATGTTGTGAGTGCCCAAACCGGTATTTGCAGGCCATGGCCACCAATTTGGCTATCTCAACTCAAAACTAATGTTAAGGTGGGAGTGTCCCTTTAATACATTCATTTGCTCCAATTCTGCTTATGAAAATAGTTGGTTTTTATTGACCAATAAACATTTTCCTTCCCAGGCAAAAGACCTAGAGCAAATGACTGGCTGCTCCATTGAGGTGAAAATCACTCATGCTTCCTACTTGAACAAAAAGTACCCCACCGCGGTTGCTGAAGGGGATCTTGCATCAACATCAACATCGACCTCTCCCTCTCCCACCGTGGCCACGTCTCAACCAGCCACCAGCACCCGTGAACAGGCTACACAAACCGACGGGGAGGGTGATGGTGAACATTCGTCTCCAACCAGAGCTGTCCGTGAAACAGGATCTATGCCTTCCACATCCAAAGGGAGGAAGGCACAGGCGCGAAACCGGTGTAGAATATGTTACGAGGACTGGAAGGCTGATGGGGAACTTTGGGTGGGTTGCTCTCACTTGAGCAAGAGGGGCTATCAGTCCTGCCCAATGTGGGTGCACCAGCGCTGCATCTGGCTTAAATACACTACAACTACGGAGCTGTCCCGGGTCAAAGTGTTCTGTCCTGAGCACCAGGGATAGTTCTTGAGAAAGCCGATGGAAACTGCTTGTGAGGAAATACTTTAGTTTTTATTGCCATTTTTCTGTGATATAGTCTAGGAGAACGTTTAAGCGCGGCTCAAATACGGTACAGGGTGACACAAAAAAAAACGGTCATCACCAAATTTCGAATAACTTCGGAAGTTTTATTCAGATGATCACCAAACTTCGGCCACTTAAGGTCACACCTATGTAGCATACATCCACCAAGTTTCAAGTCTTCACTACAAATACTTTTAGTACAGTGTGTGTTTTACTGACGCTCCACAATGTGCTCCAGGTGAGCGCCACGGCGCTGCAGGGCGTAGGCACACTTGCATCCGGCGGGCAAAGTTGTCGATAACTCGATGGCTGTGCACTTTACAGAGTGCAATGGCCTCTGGAGACAGTGCTCAGGGGGTGTGCTACCCCTGAAACGTTATTCTTATCGGGTTATCGGCAACTTTGCCCGCCGGATGCAGGTGTGCCTACGCCCTGCAGCGCCGGGGCGCTCACCTGGAGCACATTGTGGAGCGTCCGTAAAACACACACTGTACTAAAAGTATTCGTAGTGAAGACTTGAAACTTGGTGGATGTCTGCTACATAGGTGTGACCTAAAGTGGCCGAAGTTTGGTGATGATCTGAATAAAACTTCCGAAGTTATTCGAATTTTGGTGATGACCGCTTTTTTGTGTCACCCTGTACAACGACGGAGCTGTCCCGGGTCAAAGTGTACTGTCCCGAGCACCAGGGATAGTTCATGAGAAAGCCCATGGAAACTGCTTGTGAGGAAATACTTTAGTTTCTATTGCCATTTTTCTGTGATATAGTCTAGGAGAACGTTTAAGCGCTGCTCAAATACAGTACAACGACGGAGCTGTCCCGGGTCAAAGTGTTCTGTCCCGAGCACCAGGGATAGTTCATGAGAAAGCCCGTGGGAACTGCTTGTGAGAAAATACTTTAGTTTCTATTGCCATTTTTCTGTGATATAGTTTAGGGGAACGTTTAAGCATTCCATGTCTTTCATGAATCTGGAAGTCCCATTTTGCTGCCTGCGGGTTATTGGGGATTTATACATGCTGCACAGTGAATGCATATGTTCAGTCAACAATTACATGTGCTGTCAGTATTTGAGGTTTGCAGTGTGTGAGTCATTTTTAATACATGTTTTTTTTATCAGGTTCTAGTCTTATGGCTCATGTGATAACAGAGGGGAGGCCATTGCGTCTTCGGTTCCCAGTCAACGTCAAGTAGATTCCCTCACTTCCCAGCCTCCTGCCTCCATTGACCACCATTTGTAGGTTTTTTTTTTCTGGAAATTCAGAATCAATTGGCTTGGAAAATGTAAGTTTCCTTGCTAGTTCCCACTCCTATATGCCCCAATATAGTCACTTAGATGAGTCACTTTCATTGATAAACATTGCATTGGAAGAAAATCAGCCAGACTTTTCTAGGTTAGGTTTCTTTCAGGGGTGCGGAGCCGCCGGAGCCGGCATATTTTGCCCGGAGCCGGAGCCGATTTTTTCCTCTGGAGCCGGAGCCGGAGCCGTCTGAATTTTCCACGGCTGCGCATCCCTGGTTATTTGCTTTCACAAGTTGTAATTTATTTCAAATGTGTGTCAGACGATTGTATGGAAAGCATATATTTTCGTAATTTCACAACGCACCTTCTTCCCGGTAGCATACGTTTAATCAGTGGCTCGGGTCAGTCGGCTCGCCGTCCCCCAGTTGAGATGCTTTGACTAGGTCCTGTAATCTAATTAAAGTTTCATGTGCTTGCCATATTTTTTGCAGGATGTTAACCTAAAAGCATGTTTTGTGTTGGCAAGTATGAGCATTTATGTTCTACTTTGCAAAATTGGTCATAAATTTATGTTTTTTTTCCTCAGATACAAAGTCATGGTGGGCCCAGTCAGGCGCAAAGGAAATCCCACTCGGCGGGTTCAATGTGGCAATAAGAAACATTCAGAAGTCATCCTGAATGCTGCTGACCACACTCCTGTGAAATTGAAACGAACAGATGGAAAGGCATTGCCGAAAAGAGTTTTACAGTTTATTTTTGGTACTAAAGACAAGCACAATATTCCCAAGTTTTTGTGCTCAGCATGCATCAATCACGCGCTGAAGAAAACAAAACCAGAATCGCAAGCTCGCCCAGTGACGTCAGACACGGGGGAAGCATCGACCTCCTCTTACCAACCGTCATCGAGCGAAGGAACGATTCCTAGTCTCGCAGCCTCAGGGTTGTTGCCCAGCGTAGACCACGTCTCTAGTGAAGAATCTACATGGTCAGTATCTGAAGCTAAAACGAGCGCATTGGCTGGCGACTGGGAGGCAAATGACAGCACGTGCATGAAACAGCTTTGTTCAATGATAGCCCAGGGGCGCCTACCGCAGCAGTCGTTGAAAGAATTGTCGTCTGCCCTTGGCACCGCGCTGAATAAGGCGTTTTACAACGAGGCTGTTGAGCTGTCTGGTGGTTTCAGCGATATAGAACAGCTATCAAGGCAAGACGCGACGCAATGGCTGAGTGAACGCAATGATTCTGTCGTGTCTTTTTTGAAGGCTCTTACAGAGAAGCGGAGACCGACGCAGGACGACCTTCGCCTTGTGTTCGCTTACGAGTCGCTACTAGGATGTAGAAACGGGCGGTTCGTCGGTCAGTTCAATTTTAGCAACGCACTAGTTAAAAACACCTTTTGCAGAAGCTCTTCAGCTCGAGACATAGACAGCGCGTGCTCACCATCGGGCTCAGGTACTACTCACAGAAAAATGTTGTCCGACAACGCCCGCGAAGTGAGCACCATCCATGAGGAAGGCGACGTGGACCTATTCTTTGACAACAACCAGGTTGTCACTCGCTCTACGCGACTGATCGTCGGCGGACAGCCTATTGTCAGTGGATGCACGATGGTGATGTCTCTGCAAAGCCAGCAGAGTGATCTGCAACGGGATCCCAGCCTGATGCCATCATCATATGAAAGTATGGAAGGTCCGTCTCTACAGAAAGCTCTTGATGAATTGAAACAAGTGGAAGAAGAACTCCAGAAAGACTTTCGGAAGTACAGGAAAAGCACATACCACAGAAAGTTATCCGAAGTAGGCAGCAGCATCAAGTCGAAGGTCAAGTCATCGACTTCGTCGATATCGACGCTGCCCAGCTACGCATCGGCTCGGAGAAACGAGCATGTAAGCAGTGCCTGAAGGTCGTCAGCCAAGACGACAAATGCACATGCCAGCCAACCGCGGAACGTCGTCCAACGCGCAGCGAAGTGTATGACTTAGTCGAGTCACAGCATGAGAAGCCGTGCAGCACGAGAATGGGGGAAGTTGTGGCAGACATGCCCAATTCATATGCCACGTGTGCGAAAGTCCTCGAAGAGTTGAAACACCAGGCGGGTATCGGAGTGAGAAGGAAATGGGTGGCCATCGGCTGCGACGGGCAGCCCTACGACATGATTTCGAAACTTATCGAAGATAAGCTGGTTTGCCTAAGTTGTACTACGCTTGTGGCGCGGGAAGAGGTCGATCAACATAGTAAGATACACGCTGATGCGGAGTATAAGAAATTCTATGACTGGATCATGCTTAGACCCGGGGTTGGGCACGTAGAAATGAATGTGGCGAAAGCCATATTCAAACTACTTTGGACCCCTCTTCTTAGGCATGTGTCATCCATCATGGGGTTCAAGACAGCCAGATCTCAAGCCTTCATCCAAGGATGTGGTGACAATCATATCACGTGGCAGATCATTCGAGTAGTGACTGAAAGCATACTCAAAGAGCTTCTTGTGCCATATGCGAGGCTTTGCTCAGAAAGAAATCAGGTGCCAACGGTGGACGGATACATGGCTTGGGTGCAAGGTGTAAAGAACAACAACTACCAGATGCTGTTCAAGTTTGCAAACCTCCTGGTAGCATTCCACTTGATGAGGAGTGGTGTGAGGAAAAACAACTCTAACGCGATGCTCGCAGGCCGCCAGCGACTTGTGCCAATCTTCTTCGTCGCTCAGCACCGCATCTACCAGCGATTGGTCCTGCGGGACATGATCGTCCGACAGCAACAGCCAAGCCCCGTCCGTGAATACGTCAGAGCAACCACGTCCTACACCGTTACGGGCGACGAGACTCGGGGCGAAGGCGGTGATTTCATCCTTGAGGCCAAAAACAGAAGCACAAAATCCTGGATCCCTCCGGGCGTCCCATCGAGCGGCCAGTGGATTCATGCCTCCCGCTGCTCTGAGAGGCTGGAGGGTGTCAAGACCAGCGTGCTTGAACGATGCGGCGTCGCTCGTCAAAACGATGCTAGCATGGTATCCCTTCAAGAAAACGAAGACAGGCTAAGGGCGGAAATAAGGCGGCTGAAGTACCTGGAAAAGCCACAAGAAGAAGTCCAGCAACTCATGTCACTAGATGGTGAAGTTCTCCATCCATCCTTTGTGAACTTCGATACCATAGCTGACAAGAACTATTCAGCAGCAAAGGAGGCAATGCGTCTGGGCACTGCGCCGAAACCAGAGAAGTTGTACAGTCACCAGCACTTGCTACTAATCACCTCGCTTTTGTTCAGTAGTTTGAAGACCCATCAATTCTCAGTCGCGCAAGATACGTCAAACGATCCGTTTGGTCCTCCGATTTTCGAATATCTAACTTGTTTTTGTATATTCGAAGTATTTTGGGATGGAAAGCCAAAAAACCTCTTTTCTGCCCTAAAGTGTGCCCCAAGAATTCGTAGAACCTAGCCCCGCCTCTGATCCACAGACCACTAGTGCCATCTCTTGTCAGCCGAACAAGCCGCAGAAGTAAATAATGTCACGTGACCTTTGCACACGCTACAATTACTACGCAGCTGTAGTGGGGGAAGCGGGGCGGAGGCGTGGAGGGGGACGCAATCGGTCGGCTGGGGTCAGGTCGCCGAGGTCAGAGGTCATCCGCCGGAGGGTGTTTGAGCGGTTGGGCCGTGTGGGCTGGGGCCTGCGGAGTGGAGAGCGCCTGGACCTGTCTGGAAACAAGCCCTACAGCGCTGTGACAGTCGAGAATATTGCGAGGAAAGAGAGAGAGAGAGGGAGAGAGAGAAAGAGAGAGGGAGAGAGAGAAAGAGAGAGGGAGAGAAAAGAGAGAGGGAGAGAGAGAAAGAGAGAGAGAGAGAGCGAGAGCGAGAAAGAGAGAGAGAGAGCGAGCGATTGCGAGAGCGAGAGAGCGAGAAAGAGAGAGAGAGAGAGAGAGAGAGAGAGAGAGAGAGAGAGAGAGAGAGAGAGAGAGAGCGAGATAGAGAGAGCGAGAGCAAGAGAGCGAGAGCGAGAGCGAAAGAGAGAGAGCGAGAGAAAGAGCAAGAGAGAGCAAGAGAGAGCGAGAGAGCGAGAGAGAGAGAGAGAGAGAGAGAGAGAGAGAGAGAGAGAGAGAGAGAGAGAGAGAGAGAGAGAGAGAGAGAGAGAGAGCAATGGGTAAATCAGTGAGAGGGAGCGAGAGAGGAAATATTTAGTTGTGTCAGCTTGTTTCACATGTAAAACGTAAATTTGCTTTTCATCATTACAGCTTCGGATTGGAAATTAAATCTTAGCATCCTTATGATAAACCCACGTTGACGGGATGCATTAGCGGCGGAACACCTTCAATTAGGGGGGGGGGGGGCACTGCCGACTTTTGGTACTAACTATTTCCATGCAACGCTCATAGGGCTAATGTTGAAATGCAAAAATCAAAAGGGGGCACGGTGCCCCGGTGCCCTTCCCGTTCCGCCGCCTATGACGGGATGGGGACGCTTTTATGGTCGTCGCTGGGAGCTCTGCACTAATGGGGTCTAGGGATGATGTTGAAGGTTTCGCAAATGTTTCATAAAAGAGATGCTATTTTTTGCACAACCTATTAAACATTTTTTTACGTTTGCTATTAAAATGTTAGGCCCAGTTCATTCAAGATCAGGTCCACGACTCCACAGCTTACAACAGCAGCTAGCTAGCATAACAATTAACCCGCGCCGTGTTGGTGGCATGAACTTTCCGTCGAGTGTTGGGGGGGGGGGGGGTTTGACGCCCCTCCGTCTAACTCGGCTCCTGGGCCACGTAGCGACACGCGGTAAGCGGCAATCCAAAGAGCGTCAAAAATAAGGAGGTAAACACTCGTGTCACAGGTGCGATTTTCCGATTCAGTGTGTCATGTTTACCTATGGACCGATGTTTTAGTGGGTGTAGAACGAAATTCGTCCGAAAGAGGCGCATTTCAATTTTCTCCCATTGACTTATACCCAATTGAGCAGTCGCAAAATTGACGTGACCTTAGGTCACAGACATACAAAATCCGAGTTATCCATTTTATACACACTATTACCCTAACCAATTACTGAAAGTTTTAAAGTCCGCTCAGTCGGTGTAGCTACAGCGAGCTTTCGAATTTTTTTTTCTGAGGTAAGGTCACTTTACGTTACGGTGACCTGACCGTCGCCGTTTTTTGAGACATTCGCGAAAAACCTGAGGGGGAAGGGTGTAACCCCCCCCCCCCCCAGCACGGCGCGGGTGGTCGACATAGCGACTCGGACTGAACAAATGCCTTTAACGTTTCAACGGTTGAATAAGGTGAGAGGATTGAGGTAGGCTTGTATCGGATTTTCTTCTGCTTTTCGGTAGTTTAGGTTGAAGTTAACCCTCGCCGGCACAGGGGGGGGGGGTGATGCAACCCCCACCCTAAGGTTTTTCGCGAATAACTCGCGTAAAAAGCGGCCGATCGCGACGAAACTTTTAGTACCCTCGCATTGATCAATTTTACACCTACCCTGAAAATTTCGTGACCCTGGCCCCAATGACCTTTGACCTGTGACCTCTTTTCTGTGACCATGTTTGGCCGAAATCGCGGTTCGGCGCATGTCGGCTCGCATTAGCCGCGCGTTTGCAAGCTTTTCGTGGTTTCAAACGTTCAAACATGTGATTTGACGTTGCTCCCATGCATTAGGGTGGGTGTCAAGGTCACCTGAAGGTCAGGTCAGGTCATTGACCTTTGGTGACCTCGGGTGACCTCGGTTCACTTTTTCGAGTTTTACATGTTTCTAGGCTAGTTTTTGGAGCTGAATTCGAATTTAGCAACCATTTGAACATTTACGAAGTAGTTTTGGTGCCTTCGTAACATGTTACGAAGCTGTCCGAGGCGGTTGACACGTATTACGAATACCCGTCACAACCCCTACCGGTTGACCTGACCTGACCTGACCCGACCTGGTCTAAATGCTTAAAGACATCATCTCTGATCAAAACTAACACGATATTCGTGATCAGCACCCCGGAAAACCACATAGCAGCCACACTCTACGACTTTCTAACAGGTCCCGATTTTCCCGGTTTTCGGGTCATTGACCTGACCTGGAAGGTCACCCGATGACCTAGGACCTTAAAATTGGGTATCATCGGCTTCGTCTCGTGACGGGCAGCACGCTCGTTTTTTTCCGCGAAGCTCTAGCTCGATCAGGGGCCAAACGCGAGGGGGGGGGGTCGTACCAACGCTCTATCCTATACCAACGCTCTATCCTATACCAACCCCCCCTTGTGCCGTCGAAGGACTCAAAATGGCCTGTGCCGGCGAGGGTTAATTTCGCGAGCTGTCCCTAATCATTTAACAGGGAAAACTCAGCTGCACATCGTGCCTTTAAAGTTTAACGTTTCAACGGTTGAATAAGGTGAGAGGATTGAGGTAGGCTTGTATCGGATTTTCTTCTGCTTGTCGGTAGTTTAGGTTGAAGTTAATTTTGCGAGCTGTCCATAATCATTTAACAGGGAAAATCCAGCTGCACATCGCTCGGGTCAAAGTAATACCAAACATTCTCAAATTTTGTAGCCTAAAGAGCCAGTAGTCTACGAATATATTCAAAAAACAATTAGAAAAAGAATAAGCGGACCGGTTTCGTCTATCAAAGACTTCTTCAGCGCTTTTTAAAAAACGTATAAGAAAAAAACTAGCACAGTGACAATCGTTTGAAATAAAATTGGATTCAGTAAGAACTAAGAACTTCATTATTGTCCGAAAACCGCTGACTGTTGATAGCTCAATGACACTTAGAGCCGTGCATAAGGAGGCGTGAAAGCACTCTCCTCATCTCGTTCTATTACGAGAGGACCATGTCATGGCGTGAGAAAGGTGTTCTCAAAATAAACGACATTGTATGAGTGAATAAATAATCCGCGCCCCTTGGGGTATTGGCGGACCCTACCACCTGATCGGGTGGTGCAGCCGTTTCGCCTTCCACCTGAGATCTCGGAAAGTTACCGACCGATTTTGAACATCCAAAAAGCGTTCGATAGCCCCACCAGGGAACTACCTTGCTACCAGGTTTTGTTGACCTAGGTGCAACCCATGACGTCACAAGTCAGGTCAAAGGTCGCATTTTTTTTCACCGATTTAGTCTAAGGAATGCGTTACAGTCAGTTAACACATCAAATAAAAGACATGTAATGGAAAACATCGATGGAGCGCTGGTTGTCTAATACATATGTTGCCTAAAGAGGTCATTGATGCCAGGTCAGTTCACAGAGGTCAGGTCACTAAGGGTTACAATATGAACCCAACTATGCTAGGGTCGTGTGATACATGTTTTATGGCCAATTTTACATTTACAATTCAATGGTGTGGGCTAGACGGCCATTGGGGCCAGTTTAGATTACATTCTGGTGGAGGTTAGGTCAAGGTCAGGTCAAAGAAGGTCAAATTTGAAAGTTGATATTTTGCATAAAAGGGGTATCTATTCGATGCAGCTCATCACAGGAAATCCAATGGTGGTCTTTGGCTTGCTCTGTGTGTTCTGTGTCGGCTAAAAATTGAATTTGAAAAAAAATACGTAATAAATTTTGAGTATTTTTTCGCCATAACTTTGCTAAAAATGGAGCTAACGAGTTTAAGTTTGGCATATCTAGAGCAGATAGTTATATAACATATATTTCAGTTTTAATTTTGAAAGTTGTTGGTATTTTCGGGGTGTTTACTACCATAGTTTTGATGTTCAAAATCAATTTTTGTTTGGAAATAAGAGTTAGCAGTTTGGTAGCGCTGTTTATTTTACATCTTTTTTATTTTGAATATTTTTCGTTATCTTCAAAACTGTAAGCGTGACAGCTCTTCCCGCTAAACCTTTTATTGGGTCAAAAATGACAGAACATGACATCCCTCTGACGTCATTTGTGACTAACCTTTCATAAAAGCTCTGGAAAAATGTGGTCACAAGGTGTAAAAATGATGCCCGGAGGGGTCTTGAAAGTTTGGTGGCGATATTTGCTATACTTTAGGAGATATCGACTGAAAAGGAGAGAGGGGGCCATTTCGCGCCGACCTCCCACCCCCGCCCCCCTCAACGGGGCTTTCAGTTACTGCTCTCACAGAACTATTGGTTATATTACAACGTAGTGGAATTGCAAGTGGCAATATAAGCTTCCTGCCAGCGCCGGACCAGAGTTTAAACATGCAGGCTGAATTTTAACATTTAAGTTTTGAATTTTTTAACCGTTGAGCTTTGTAGAAGTTGTATGAACTGTTCAGCTCCTCTTGTGGTCCATCACAGCGGGCTTGTATGTCATTTGTCAACCAAAATCGAATTAACAATCCACGTCCCAGTGGCTGCTCGATCGCACTTTCCCTGGCCCACCTCTCCCACCAGGCTAGACTTTGCCCGGCACAGCCGTCGCCTCAGTGCCTTGGGCGGTGACCCGTTCAAAGGGGCTCACAATTCGTATGGTGCCGTGGCTCTCAAACCAATACAGAACAGTGAAACGCAAAGGCTCACTTTCCATATAAGGCGAACGGCTGATTCTGGCGCCGGGGCTTCATTCATGCTAAGGCGCCCAATCACAGCGCCGCATTTCAGTTAGTGTCGGGTGCAAAGGCTACTATGCTCCGCCCCTCCATCACGTGACCCTGCCCTCACGTGGCCTCAGTCACGTGGTGTTTCCACTTATTGGCGCATGGCGGCGCTAGTCTCGCAGGGGCGGTGGTAGCTTGCTCCCCCGCCGTCCGGGGGTGATGGGTAGCAACTGCTGGTGACTGTACATAACAACTGATGATGCGGACTTGACTAAAATGACAAAAGCCGAAGTCTTAGAAAGAATATCACTAAGAGTAGAAGCACTGGGTTCAGAAGGGGAACGTGAAAGGTGGAGAAAGGAGATTCAGAGGAAGAAGTCGAAAAACAAAGCTGCAATGATTGAGCTTTTAGAAGAACTAGAGGCTCAGCAACACCAGTTCGTAGAGGACGACAACGAAATGGATGCGGATTAAAGGTGAGTTTGCACGCTCCCTGGGAAGGTTCTGAGAGTAACGTGGCCTGGAGGGGAGGGGAGGTCAGATTTTGCCCCATTCTGGTTAAGATGATTTAGAAATGACTATTGATTATTTCAGATGACTTAAACGTTCAGCCCTATATCACATCGTAATGTGTAGGTACCGCCTCTGAAATAGATAATTTACAAAATGTATAGTGTCATGGTGTTAGGCCTAATTAAGTTAAAATTACCAAATCATTAGTGACAGCTTGTTAACAATATTGATATTTAATCATGTCATTTAATTTCACAATGCAATGACATCCCTGATAAAAGTTATAGTACCTAATATTACTAGTTTTACTTACTCTCTCATACCTACCACTCACTCTCATTGTTTGTTGATTTGTTGGTTTATTCATTTCTCAAATTTACAGGTGACGACGACGTTGGTCTACTGGGCGGACAGACGGTATGGTGCGGACTTTCGTAGTTATCGAATACAGATTGGCTGCATTGTTTGCTCTTTGATGTCAGGGCTGTGAATGTGAAGTAGAAACCATCCGATCATGTGTTATTTAGTAACACAAAGGCAGGGGCGTCGCGGACTGGGGATGTAGGGTATTTATATCCCCGCACGCTGTATCAAGGGGGACTAAGCCCTTCCCTCACCCTTAATGATCAGATGTTGCAGTGTACGTGTAGGGAGGGAGGGCAGGGCAGCAAAGGTGGCAAATACTGGCAGCTACGGTTCCAGGCGACTAGGGTGTTACTTGCCACCCTAGTTAACATGTTAAAATAGTCCCTGCTTAGATTAATTACAAGTATGCTACTTTTATGTTTTTCTCATTTATCCATAGTCATTTAAATGCATGCAACATGCACCAAACGAAGTTCACTTTCCCACAAACAAATTTAAATCAATTAAACTATTAGTTTAAATTGTCTTATAAAGTTCCGAACTAGGATAAAACGCCCATTTCAGCTTTTGATTACATAAATAGTGCGAAATTCCTACGCTAAAATGCTCATACCAGCGTTTCAATAAATGGATACGGCACCAGGCTTATGCGTTTCCATATTTGGAACGGCAGCGTCTCCATAAATGGATACGATTCAGGAGCATGGTAAAGTGGTGAATTTGATTGCATACGACAGCTTTCCGTGCAAAAAGACAAGTGCCTTTGGTGTATCCGCTTTTGCTTGAAGGGAATCAGCAGTTATAAATCAAATCCAGCCTCACTTGGCAAAAAAAAATCGTGCAGAGATGTTAGCGTTTCTATTTATGGAACGATCGTTTCCATTTTTGGAACAAGTGAGTTGTCAAAATTGGAAACGTTTCAAATAATAGAAACGTCTCCATAAATGGAACGGAAATACCACAGTGCGCCCGACTGACACCTTAACACTGATTTCCGTTTGTCAAAACTAATTTTCTCGTCTTGAAAATCGAGAAAAATGCCACCAGGTACTTGCAAATCGTTCACGCCGCTTCACTCTACTCGGCCGTGTTCAATGTGCCTTGACCTTGAAGGCCTTATAGGCCTCAAAATTCTGTATTGGTAAGGTAAGGTAAGGTAAGGTATGAATATTTTAAATCAAGTGCAGTAACCGTAATTAACATGTTTAAATAAAACTAAGGCTGAGGTCACCCACAACCTTGCTCAGAGACGGATCCAGCTCAGAGTTTTTTTTTTAGGGGGAAACCATAACAATTTATCGATTCTTTCCATGCATCATCCCAATAGGTGTAATGTTAAAAACATGCCATTTGGGGGGGCAAATGCCCATTTTGCCCCCCCCCCCCCTGGATCTGCCACTGACCTTGCTATCTGATAATTGTGCCTCAATCTCATAGGCAACATATTTGATTTGACACATGTGGGATTACTTTCCAGACAGACCCTCATCCATCGCGCTAGCTCTTTTCAAGCAGGTTCCTTCCCTTCTCTCAATTTCTTTACCCATTTAGCTACCCTCAGATCAAAGAAACCCCAAACAGGTGAGTTAAACAGGTGATTAATCTGTACTTACCCATAATTCAGTTCCCCACGCCATATTCTGATTTGAGTGATGGTTCCTTCTTGACTGAATTTCTTGGTGTCCCTTGCAGTGACTGTCACGTTCCAGGACAGTCATAACATCATGATGGGCACCACAGCTTTATCGGAACACTGAATCACAAAACGGCACGCACACCACCTGCACTAAATCACAAATTTCACAAATCCTTGAGAATGCTGAATGTTGACGCCCGCTGCTGCTCCACAACGAGAGCCACACAAACCCAGTCTATAGGAATCTTGCCCAGGCCCGTGTCAGGACGATACAAGCACGCCAAAACTCACGCCACACAGCAATGTAGCCGAATTATCACCCTTATAGTCTCGCGCTATCTTGGGAGCACTGCATTTTTGAATAAATTGCTTTCAAATATCAGAGCTACGTGAATCTCAACCATTTGTCGCAAATTTTGAGACAGCAACTGGCTAAATTATTCTCGTAAACGCCAAGTGGCATTGCGGTAGCGCTTCTCTTTGGCTTCTCTAAAATAACTTCAGTAGAAATGATAGAGTAAAGACGTAATAATTAAAAATATTGACGTATTTGAAACTACTGCAGCCAATCATCAGGTCACATTTGGCATTTATGACGTCACAAAATTGTGCTAATACGATATCTACGGATAAGGAAAGAGGTGTTTTTCTACTGAAAGCAGTAGACTGCATTTTATCCATCACCTCACTCTTCGTAGAACGTGTACAAGTTTTTTAAACCGTCGAAAATGCCAACTAAAAACTAAAGCCCCTGAGGGCTGTTCGTCTGCGCAGCTAAAATGAAATATGCTGCAGCCAGCGGCGTCACCACGGTTTCAGAATTTCCAAATGCGTGTCATTCGATCCGTATCGTTGAGCTGAACTCTTCCGAAAGGACGGTGCCCTGACACTTGCACGACTTTTGGTCATGATTTTGTCGTGGCAAGTCGTGTCATTTTCGTGCACGAATTGGGATCGCTCCCGCACTGTTCACGACTAGTTCACGACCAGTTCACGGCGATTTCACGAATAATTCACGAATGCGTGCCCATCAGTGTCCACATTGACACGGACTGGTACGACAAGTTCACGCATACTTTCCGCATAGTTTGCCCATAGTTTTAGGGCCCTGAAAGTTACTAGTGGCCCTTCATAGGCCGGCAAGGGAACCTCAGATACCGGTAAGAGGCCCTCAGAGTCGCCGATAAATGGCCGTTAGATGCGCTGGTATAGGGCCCTCGGAGGCACCGGTGAGCGGGCCTTCAGAGCCGCCGATGTAGGCCGTTAAGAGGCACTGGTGTGGGGACCTTAGAGGTGGCGGTGAGGGCCCTCCCAGGCGCCATTATGAGCCGTGAGGGCCCTCAGAAACACTGGTGTGGGCCGTGGGGGCATTGCAAACAGGTGTGGGGCCCTTACAGCTGATCCCTCATTAGCCTCCAAGGACCCTCAGAGGCCGGCAAGGTCCTTCAGAACCTGGGGTGGGGCCCTTCTGGAGATAAGTGTGGCTACATAAGAGCCCATGACTTGTTCTCAAAAGCCCCGTGGTGTCCTTTCACTCCTTTCCAGTTGAACCGTGGCCAGCGTGGACCCTCTGATGTCATTGGCACCGTAAGGCCCCTCGGGCACGAGGGGACCCTAAACCATATAACGGACACGTGTCTCCTCGCCTCCTAGCTATGCCATTGAATCCAAGTGATCAGGGGCCCTTTAGGTAATCAGGGGCCTCTCAGGTGACTGCAGGGGCTTTTCAATTGATCAGGGGCCCACCAGGTTACCGTGACCAGGGGACCCTCTGAAAACCAGGTGCCGGTTATACCAGGGGCTCCTCGGGCAACTAAGGGCCTTCATGTGACTGCAGAGGCCCTTTAGATAACCAGGTACTCCCCGGGTAAACATGGGCCCCTCAGGTGACCAGGGCTTCTTTAGATGACTGGCCAGGGGCCATCCAGGGGACCAGGAGCCCCTTGGCTAACTAGGGGCCCCTCAGATAACCAGGGGCCCCTCAGGTAACCAGAGGCCCCCCAGGTAACCAGGGGCCCTCGTAACCAGAGGTCCTTTACCAGGAGTCCTTCAGGTAACCAGCCTAACCAGGGGCCCTTTAGGTAAACAGGGTCCCGTGACCAGGGGCCCTCAGGTAACCAGGGCCCCTCAGATACCTAACCAGGGGCCCTCAGGTGACCAGGGGCCCTTCGGGTAGCCAGGGAGTCCCTTAGACAACCAGGAACCTCTCAGACAAGGAGTGGCCTCTCAGATAACTATAGGGGCTCGTCAGATAACCAGGGGCTCCTCGGGTGACCAGGGGGACCCTCAGGTAACCAGGGGGGCCCCTCAGGTAGCCAGGGGCTCTCAGGTAGTTAGGGGCGCTCTGTGTTCGTCACTGTGATAGATATCGCTCTTTGATATCAGTTTTTCTTCCGAGTAAAAGACGTTCTGTCCAGTACTGGAATTAAGGCAGGGAGACCCAGAACGCCTTCGTCACGCTGGTCCCCCTGAGTCATCCTTGGACCTCAGAAGCCCCGTGGCCCCCCTTGGGTACGTCACTGCACTCAAGTGACCCAAAGGGCCCACTTGCATGTCTGATCCCAAAGGGGGGGGCATGGCCTCTTGGCCTCCCCCCTGGATACGCCACTGTGGGTATAGCATTTTACCCAAAAAGATGGGGGCTGGCAATTGGGCTGGCACATGCAGAGACACGCAGTGGCGGATCCAGGGAGGGGGGGGGGGCAAAATGGGCATTTGCCCCTCCCAAACGGCATAATTTTAACATTACGCCTATGGACGAGGCATGGAAAGAATCGATAAATTGTTATGGTTTGCCCCCCCCCCCCAAAAAAAACTCTGAGCTGGATCCGCCTCTGGAGACACGTGCATGCTCCATGTGTCAAATTACCTGAAACCTTTCAGGAAGCCCGATGTCCGAGTTCCGCCGAGAAACTGTCCGGTCCGACTGACTCCCGGCGCCCTTATCTTGTTTGCCATAGGTCTGATATCTGCCTAAGTAATATCGGTCTGAGTTCTGATCAGTCACATGAAGTTATCTGCCTGCTGAATAAATAGTCTGTTAAATAGAGTAACAAACAGGGTAGAGGTGCGCGAGTAACCGGTTAGTTGTAACTAACCGGTGGTTCGATCGTGACACATCGGGACTTTCCTGGACCACTTAGCAATTGTGCAGAATAAATATGAAGATAAGTAAAGTGATGGACGTCGCACATGCACTTACGTAAATATCAAGTGCATGCAGCTTGGATAAGCAGCATTTAAGCATTAAGCGCTTGGCGCTCGTTTCTGCACGCTCAGTTGAGATATTTGACATTATGGACTGGCCGAGCCTGATTTAAAGCAATTAAAGGGTCTAAATTAAAAAAAAAAACATATCGTCAAAATCCGTACAGTATTGGATTAGAAATTCGTCCTATAGTCAATTTAAAGATCAAAATAAATTAACCCGCGCCCCACTGGGGGGGGGGCTATTTATAGCCCCCCTCCCGTTTTTCTGCAATAACTTCCAAACCGCTTGACATATCGACGCCAAACTTTCAGTACCTTCAGCTGCATCAATTTTACACCTTGTGTCAAAATTTGAACTTCGTACCTACCATAGGTCGGCCGGAAATGACGTCAGAGTGACGTCATGTTCGGCCGATTTCGACTCAAAACATTGAACCACGGCAATCGCTCTCAAGAGCTCAGTTTTTAAGCTAGATCCAATTTCTTTGCATGAGAGGACTCAAAATAGACTGCGCTATCAAACTGCTATCTCGGATTTTCGAATTTTTGAAAATTTTGAAAATCTTTTATAATAAAATTCAAAATTTATATTTTTACATTTTTTCGAAAAAAATTTTGACTTTTCGAAAAAAAAAACGGAATATATGTGATAGAACGCATTATCATGACTAACTCTAGCAAGTTTTAGCTAAATATCTTCAAAAATGGCCAAGTCATACGCATTATTGCAAAAAATTAACAATTATTAATTTTTCAAATCAATTTTTCAGCACGAATTTGACATCGTACGCCAATATAAATAGCACCATCGTGTTCCTGAGCTCAAACTGCATCCAATAGACACCTTTTTTGTTGAAAAATGTTAGCTTTAAAATTTGACCTTTTTTGACCTAAAAGTGACCTGACCTAAGCTAAATTTGACTCAAAATGACCTCGAATGACACAGACGACATGAAATTCGAAATTTGTGGCCTAAATGGACCATAAAACATGTGTCACGTGACCGACGGATGATATAATATTTTCGTGACCTGTGATGACCTGACCTTGACCTGAAAATCAAAGTTCAAGTTTGGTACCCTCAGAGTATCTAGAGCATCTGTTCACGAGTGTGTGAACCAAAAATGAGCCTGATCTGACTTGTAAGACGGCGGCCAGAGCCCAAAACGTGAACAAGCAAAAATGCTAATAATTTTTACTTTGACCTGACCTGTGACGTCATCGGTGACCTCGAGGTCAATGAAATTAGATTTCGCTCGACAGTTTTTCCGGGGCTATCAGACGCCGTTTGAATTTTGACGATCGGCCCAGTAGTTTCGGAGTTAGGAGGGGGGCTATGAATAGCCCCCCCCCCCCAGTAGGGCGTGTTATACGCAGACCCCAGTGGGGCGCGGGTTAAATGCACTGGCATGCTCAGCACGCTACAACTCATCAAGTGATAAATACCTTTGTCAAAAGGTTCATTGAGCTTGCCAAGTTCACGTAGCCCGTGCTGAGCGATTGGGAGAGTCCGATCGAGTGGTCGATTTTTAACACATCGGGCGGTTCCTGGGCGGCGTAGCGCCAAGCGGTGTCGGAAATAACGTCAAATATAATGAAAAGTATATGCTTTGGTCATTTTTGCCAGTTCGAAGATCAGGTAAACACACACCATAGGTCATCAAAGGGCTAGTATTCCCGAATTTGACACTCTTGGACAAAGTTGGTTAGCTGGTTAAAACGAGAATATCGCGATAAAAACGTTCGATTTGTTAATTCTTTCACCGCGCTTATCTGCGATTAGATTTAATCTAGGGTTCACGGTTTAGTCTCTGAAGAAAGCACAAACCGGCAAAATTGATCGTATTGTGGAAACGTTTTCGTTAATGCTATAACTTTTGACAAAAGACTTGTTTTGATTATAACGCTAGACGCGGCAAAACAACGTCATATATACTTTAACATTAAAAAGTGAAATTGAAAATATGCCCAAACTTTAAAACTTTAGCGATTCATAAATGTTGACAGAATATGTGAAGCGTTACATCTCGGATTTGTTATCGCGAATCGCGATGACCGATTTTTTATCGCTTCCAAGAACAGTCGACGTGTCTCAACGAAGGAAACACGATGCTGGTAATTTTAACGATGATTTAGCCCGCTCCCTGCTGGATGATCAGCCGTGCGGTTTTTCGCGAATATCTAAAAACGTCGGCACGGAGCCCGTTTTTGACGTATACCTCATCGCACATCTTTTTCGCATATGCTGTGAAAATTTCAGACCAAGGTCACCCAAGTAGGTAGGTGACCTTGGTAGGTGACCCACACCTACATAGGTGTGGTCGCCTCCTAAAAAGTTTCAATGCCTGCAATAGTCCTACACCGAGTAACCGACCGCTTTGAAACTTTCAGCAATTGATAAGAGCTCGTAATATGTACAAAAGGTTTCTCTCGAACTTTTGTAATCGGCGACCTAAGGTCAGGTCAATTTTGCGATCTCTCTATCACCTATCCTATAGGTAAGCCAATGGGAAAAAATTGAAAGGCACCTTTTTTGGACGAAACGAACATCATTCTTCAAACACCGAATTACAAGTAAACATGACACACTGAATCGGAAAATGGCACCCGTGACCCCTCGTCATGCCCCTGAGAGGCCATCTCAGTTCACGAAATGTAGGTATCTAACACTTTTTTGCTACAAACTTCTGATAGACGCATGCTACAGCGATATATACGCCTTAGTTGTGCTCGGCTCGACGATACGATTGACTGATACATGCAACATGACCTTTTCCGGTTAGGTCATGACTTTGACTTGAGGTTAAATTTTCAAGTTGACCTTTCAAGGTCAACTTATAGTTCATTCGATGCGTCTCGACGAGAGGAACACAATGCTGGCAAAATTAGGTATACCTATTGTCGTGCTTCACTTGGGTCAATAGTTATTGAAGAAAAACGTTTTTCGTAAAACTGCAGATAATAGTCATATACGAGTATATCTGTAATCTGCACATATCACCTTGCGTTATAACCATATATTCTCGATAGGTACGATGAAAGCATTTTACCTGCACTTGTCTGAGGAAAGTTCAGATCCTGGTAGCGGAGGCCACGCCCTTCCCCTCACCGATGTCCACTGGAGAAGCCTGTCGCGCCGGCGCCCCTCCCCACCTCGGCAGGATCTCCCCAGCTTATTCACCTCCAGACACACGACACGGGCCGGCGGCGAACAGTGTCGGTGCGTCGGTGGTCGGTGGTACGACGCACCATCGCGCTGCGGACGGGCGGGTGGGACCGAGCCTATGTGCTGACACGGGAGTCGCGATGGGCAGTATGTAGACGGTGATCGATCTGAAAGTCGCGAAACTGCTCCAGCGCCTACAGCCAGTACCTACCTATGTTGTCTGGAATTCATAGCATTCTGCACTAAGCCAGTGTGTCGATCTGCGGAGGTGGAGCCAGCCATACTAAGTGAGTGCAGTGGAGGTGACGTGCTCTCAGAGGGTGCGGCAGACTAACGACGGCGATGACGCCTCTGGAAGCGGGCTGGTTCGATCCGGCGGACTCCGCACCTGTGCTGAGCGGGGTGGACGGAGCCCCGCCACTCTCTGGTCCGGAGCACGGTCCGGCGCCGCTGCGGCAGCTCTGTGAGGCGGCCGTGGAGCGGCACCTGGCCGTCTTCACCGCGCCGCTGTCCGTGCTAACGGAGACTGAGCTGGTGCGGCACAGACCACCCGGCCCGTTCGACCACCTCCCGCCGGAGGTGGCTGACCGGCTGACGGCGCGCCTGCTACGGCGGCGACCCACGCACGCTGAGCTGGCGCAGCTCTACTGCCTCACCTCTCGGCGGCTGACGTCCGCCCGACTCTCCGGTAAGGCGGCCGGCTGCCGGGCGCGCGCCGTCGCCCTCCGGCTGCGCGCGCCGCGGCTGAAGCAGCTGGTCTGCGACATCATCTGCGACTGCGATGCTGCTGACATCTGTGACGGCCACGCGGCGGTGGTGCGTCTGGCGGTGTCCAGTCGGTATCTGCGAGTGTTCGAGGACAGCAGTCGTCACTGTCTGTCCGGGCGGGCGCTGCACCGTCTGCTGAGTCAGTGTCCTCTGCTGGAGCGGCTCAGTGTGCGTCTACCTACCCCAGACGCGGTCCGAGAGCTGCTCACAGGACGGTCGTTTCCCGCGATGCAGCAGCTGGAGCTGCGTTCTGAGCGCGCTGGCGGCTGCTGGGATATCAGCGCGCTGGCTCAGCTGTTCCCGGCGCTGCAGGTGCTGACGCTGACCGGTCAGCCGGCGCCGGCCGGAGTCGGTCCCGCGGAGGAGCGGTGCTCGTGTCGGTACCGTGTCGGTCCGCGGCTGCCGCAGCTGGAGACAGCGCGGCTGGAGCACCTGTGCGGAGCGGCGGCGGCCGGTGTGCGGGCGGCCGCGCCGCGCCTGCACACCCTGCGGCTACTAGAGTGCGTCCGGCCCGCGTCCGAGGCCGGCACCGGGGCGCGGCGGCCCGCCTCTCTGGGCGGCCTGGTGCGCGCCGTGCTGCGCCGCCGGCTGGCCACTCTGCCCTCCGACCAGGTGCGCCGGCTCCAGCTCTGCCAACACACCGTGGACGCGGCACTCGTGAACCGGTTGTTCCCGCAGCTGCAGACGCTCGCCGTGCAGTGTTCGGTGCTGGACGGTCCAGCGCCGGCCTGTGGTGGCTCACCGCTCTGGTTTCCCTGTCTGGAGCGGCTGAGTGTCCACCTCTCCGGCGGCGGGGACAGCTGGGAGGAGCCTGCCTTCCTGCGGCGACCAGTGCCGTGTCTCACCGAGTACCGGCAGAGTTTCGGGTGCGTCAGTGTGCGCCGTCTGGCGGCGGCCTGCCCGCTGCTGGAGAGCCTGCGCTTGGATCCCGTGCTGCTGGTGGAGACAGGTACGGAGCTGGCGTCCGGCAGCCTGGCGCCGCTGGTGGCGCTGCGCCAGCTAACGGTCGGCTGGTGCGACAGCGACTGTCTGGCGCAGCTGGCGCGTCTGATGCCGGCGCTGCGACATGTCACCGTGCTGGACCCGCCGGCGCTGGACGAGCGGGGCTGGAGGCACCTGGAGGCGATGCTGGCGCGCCGCGACGTGGGACTGACTCTGGACTGGTGACCGGAGAGCCTGAGCCTGACTCTGAACTGGTGATTGGTGAGCCTCACTCTGGACTGGTGAGTGTCAGCCTGAGTCTGGTGATTGGTGAGCTTTACTCTGAACTGGTGAAATACGGGCCCGATACTGGTGATCGGTAAGCCTGAGACTGGTTCCGTATTTGTCGTTCTTAGTCCTCCCTAACGAACTGAACCGTTTTCCTCCCTCGCTTGAAATCTCATACTTCTTACGCATCTTCCCTGCTTTCTCGGTACTGATTACCGTAAAGATTGCGGTGCGGCATTGAAAAGTTTTCGTGTGTACATTTACACGTATATAAGAATGCCTATATTTTTGTAAACTGGTTAACTTTAACGAACTATTTCTGCCGGACAGAGGGAAGCTATTTATGTTAATTAGGAAAAGCATTTTTATGACGATGGATTGGGCTGTGCCTACATACATTACATATTCATATACGGGGTAAGCTATTAATAGTAATTTATCTTTCATATAATGATCTAGAGAACCGTTCATGGTTTATTTTATTTCAGACAATGTATTCGACGAGCACGCAAATAAAGTCACGTCATTATGTTTTTTACCGGCACCGACACCACCGACATGACAATTTCATACAAAACCGAGATACCGCCGATCACCTAATAAAATGCGAATGCACGTTAATTAGTTACTTGACAACCAACTATTACTATCAGTTAGCATATCACGCTTGAAAAGCTCTGGTAACAAGAGAAAAAAAACGTGCATCGAAAAGGAGGCTATAAACTCTCAATCGTAACATACAGGCATTGCTGAAACCCTGATCTAATAATCGCTGCCAGGGTTGGCACATAACCTGCAGTAAAAATTGACATGTCGCTTGTATCGAACACTGAAAAAGAAGCTTGTGAAAGTACAAAAGTTTACCGATTGATGCACATTGTAAGACGTTAATAACATTAAAGTGCTCGAGAAATAAGCACTGCACGATTTTTCACCGCACTTGACGCACTAACCACCACACAGACCGGAGGCTAACGTTTGGTCTGAGATGCGCGCTGCCCGAGGGTGCCTGCCGACACAGGACGTCGTCTAATGCTCCTGAGTGCTGCGGTCGAGGAGCGTCTGCCGACAGGGACGTCATCTAGGGCTCCAGGGTGATGCGGTTGTAGCAGCCGGTGGGCAGCGCTTCGGCAATGTCCCGAACGTTGTACACCTCTTGGCGCAGGAATTCGAGCTCCTTCTCGTAGTCCTTCACCTGTGGGACGATACCGCGGCACGAGGTCAGGGCGGGTCAGAGTTGGGGACGTCTGTCTCGGAGGAAACTCCTGTTTGCCAGCCACTAGCTCTGTTGGTCATTTTTCGTTAGGTTTATCAGGCGCATGGACCATGGTGAATTTAATTATCGAATTTCAGCGTGCATTTTCCGTGCATATTGGTACATTTTTATCTCAACGTTTAATCCTGCATTTATGTACAAAGGGATGACCTCAACTTGGCACCAAACACTTGTGCAAAGTCGAGTAGGCATGCCCTTTACATATCTCAGTTTCCACCACCCGAAAGCCTTCCCGTTCTAAAGTAGTAGCTATCCCATCCGCGCTAACCATTCTGTCCTGCTGGATGCGGTGTCTCCTGAACTCCTCCATCTTGGTAAGCAGCTCGGCCTCGTTCAGCTGCGCCTCGGCAGCAGCCAGCCGCCTCTCCAGCTGCTCGAGGGCGGCCAGGTCCAGGTCTCCGGCGCTCGCCAGCTGCGCTAAAAGCTCCTGCAGCAGCTTCAGGGCGGCCTCCACACGCGTCTGAGCGTCGCGCGCGTTACCGGCCGCCAGTCCGGCCTTCTCTAGAGCCTCCCGGGCCAGGGCGGAGTCCACCGTCACCTGAGGAGGACGCGGCGTGTGAATATGTGACGGGGAGAGATGTGCACTTACCGATCGGTTGCTGCTACTTTTAAATATAAATATCAATTTATGTTGTGGCTGGTTTAAACTCATCAGCACATCTGTAACAGCAGAATCAGTGGAGCCGAGAGTGTTGAGCCAGCGCGGCGGTGTACACCTCATATACCCGTATGCCGAAGGAGTGGCAATCTGGAACGAGATTCCACTCACCTGTCGCTCGTACCGCTCGACGCTGATTGTTGTCTCCGATATTTGGGTGCTGGTTCGGCTGGCCTCAGCACGCAGCGCGGCGGCCCGCTCGCTAGTGAAGGCCGTCTCGGTCTGGATTCTGACCACCTCCTGGTACGCCTGTGAGGTGAGATACGGTCCGGTCAGTCGCCCGCATTGACCTCTCCCAGCAAGATCGGGCGTCGTAATGACAGAGGTGGAGACTTTCTCCATAATGCGCGCCATAGGCGCATTATAATGGCGCATTATATAATGCGCGCCATGTAGCCGCGTTATAGACGTAAAGGAACTAAGACCTCGCTTAGGACGCTGCAAGTGATTGGACTGATGGTGACTTAGTGCAGAGTGGGCACTGAGACTGTCCATGGGTAATCGAGCGCAAATCAGCGATATCGGTTAAATGGCGCGACGCGGTACCGCATCTGTGTACCTACAACCCACCCCCCCCCCCCCGGCCCTCACAGACCCTCAGTGTCCTCAGCAGTCAGCACTCGACTAACCTCCTCCGCCAGTCCCTCGGCCTCGCCGGCTCCGTCTCGCGCCACGGCCGCGTCCCGATCGGCGCCCTGCAGCGCCAGGCCCGCCTGTCGCGTCTGACTCTCTGCCAGCTCCACCATGGCCAGGATGTCACTGACGCGGCTGAGCGCGGCCTGCGCCAGCTCGCGAGACTCCTGAACCTGCCGGTCGAAGCGCAGCAGCGTCTCCAGCGTCTTCTGCGCCTCAGTCAGTGTCTGCTCCCCGGCGGCCACCGCCTGACGAGCCTGAAAGGGTGGGAGAGGGTGTCACCAGACAGCTGCCGTGGCAAAGGCTACGGTGTGAACTGTGACGGCCTGGCAGTGAAAACTGAACATACCCTCAGTGCTATCAGTCCCAGTGCTGTTGTCATCTCATAGTGTCACTAGCCACAATTTAAACATTTGACATATTGAAATCCCTTGCCCAGTGCTTCCACATATGGTCACGTAGCCCGTTCCGGGTGTCGGTATAAATTAATCGAATCATACTTGCGTTATACGTCATAACCCGTCATAATGTCAAAACACAAAGTGACAGCTGATGTATCCATCCACAGAACTGTTATACGGTCACGGTATTCTCTCTGCCTCGGAGTGCTGAGCGCTCGCGAAGCCGCCGCGTCTTCACCTTGTCGCGAGCGGCTGTCACGTCCACCATCAGTTCGTTGGCGGCCATCTGCTGACTGAAGCCGCGCTCGATGAGGATCTTCAGCGAGCTGATGTCCTTCTGCAGGCCGTCCAGCATGGGACCGTGCCGGATGGTCAGCTCTTCGAGCTCCGATTTCAGGCGCTGCGCCTGAGAACGACGCACATGGCCGGGATCAACCGACATGCATCCGGCTCAAAATACAAACGAGCTAGTCAAAAAGTTACATACTGAGAGATCGATGTTCAAAATGATTTTATCCTCGATACAGTAAGAATTACCTACCGCTCACACCTATATATACGATCGTGTAGGTATAGACCCTTTGTCTATCGTAGAGCTATCTGATCAGAAAATGTCCCTTGACAATCACGGGGGCTGAGTTTGGTGTTCATTTCATGCATTCTGATTCATTCATTTTATCCATTCTGCAATTTATATTCTACAGAAAACTCTCACGGGACTTGAAGGACGTAGGTATGATGTTATAAAATGATGGAAAACAGCTGTGAATTCCATCAAAATCTTTTAATGTTTAATTTTTTCCTCCAGGGTTCAGGGCATACCTACCTAACATTACACGTAAACAAATAATTTTAGACGGCTCTCGCGCCTCAACAGCGAGGCAAACTGGATATCTCACAGGAAAACTGTGAACAGCGTCGGGATTATTTACCATATGATCAGTGACAGTGCTTCTGCACCCTTACAAACATAAAATACAAGTTAAAGTCACTAACGTTACCGGCAATCGAACCGCCTCAGCACATTACGCACAGCGCCTCAGACAGCCGGCCGGAGCCGGACTGCACCGGAGTACAGCTGTGTCGTGCGGCACAGTCTACCTTCCAGGAAACTGCCTTGCGGCGCAGTCTACCAGCTACTGCGCACGAATGCTCGGATGCATATTACAGATAATCTCTTTTACCCAGTGGCCAGCGAGTCTCCTGAATAATGAATACCTGTCATCTGTTGCGAATTTAACGCTTTAGCGGTAGCCAGTCTAACTTCTTCAATAACACTATGCAACAGTCATTTTGTTCCTGAGTAACGACCGATTTTTTTGGACTCATTGGGTCCCATTATAACCGAAATGGGCATTTGTTTTGATCTGAAAATGCTTTTCCGGTTTTCAGAGACGATTTTCGATTTTTGGCCCCGAAATTCGGTTTTTGGCCCACTGTGTCCGGTGTAATTGAGTAATCGACTCGCAGTAACTTTCATCGCCCTTCCTATGCCACAAGCTTTCGAATGATATCCGGTTTTGCATTTTTGCGTGTAAAAATAACGTCATAAATCTATGTTAAAGTAAGAAAATATTGAAATTTTGTAAAAATTTGACATTTTTTCCGATTTCATTTCAAAATAGAGTAAAAACTAAAGGCCCTATCTAAATTCTGAGCCAAGTTCCTTGAAGAGCATTCAATTTCCGTTCGGAAGGTACTATTTTAGTGCATTTTATCGGTTTACTGTGGCGTCCAGATTGAGTCACTTGAAAAACGGGCCCCCAACAGATCAAGATTCTGAGCGACAGGACTGCTCAAAAGTAAGTTCCTGCGTGTGACCCGAGGTCACAAGGGGTCAACAAAATGACCTCAGTTGACCCCTCGTTGATCCTATGGCGTTAACATACGTTATCAGGTTAATGCTATGTGATATGACTTAGGATATGTGTTTAGGTTAACTCAATCTGGACGCCACAGGAATCCGATAAAATGCACTAAAAAGGTACCTTCCGAACGGAAATTGAATGCTCTTCAAGGAACTGGGCTCAGAATTTGGATGGGGCCTTTAGTTTTTCCTCTATTTTGAAATGAAATCGAACAAAATGTCAAATTTTTACAAAATTTCAACATTTTCTTACTTTAACATAGATTTATGACGTTATTTTTGCACGCAAATATGCAAAACCAGATATCATTCGAAAGCTTGTGGCATAGGAAAGGCGATGAAAGTTACTGCGAGTCGATTACTCAATTACATCGGACACGGTGGGCCAAAAACCGAATTTCGGGGCCAAAAATCGAAAATCGTCTCTGAAAACCGGAAAAGCATTTTCAGATCAAAACTAATGCCCATTTCGGTTATAATAGGACCCAATGAATAAGAAAAATTCGGTCGCTTTCCAGGAACAGAAAATTTTTCATTTTTTGTTGCATAGTGTAATTTAGTCATGGCCTTTCGATGCCCGTGTGATCGTATCGCACCCGCATGGCTTCTCGGTGCCCGGTGGGCGATGTAGGTATAAGTATATGGTACCGTGCATGGTATGCATAGATTTAGCCGAAATGTAAATAAGTCAAGATGGGTTGCTAACTATTATCAATGAAGTTGCATTTTTATTTCAAGTGTTGCATCATAGACCACTATATACCTATAGTGGTCTATGGTTGCATAAATAAAATGAAAACTAAGAACAATTTCCACGAAATGTGCATCTAAAATAAAAATTGTGATAATGGAGAACGTAGGTATAACAAAACTGCTAGCAGCAGAAGGCACTTACACCTTTATGTGCATAAGCATGTAGTGCTCTCTGCTAGTACCTATGTATAGTCGGTCAAATATGTATCTTTCCCGGCCGGCCCTCCCCAAGCTGGGCAGGTCGGTAACTTGGCTGAATCCGCCGGCCGCTGCGAGTACTACGGAGGGGAGGGGACAGGTTGTGCGGTTGCCGCGTCGGCCAATGAGCGCGGACCTGGCGAGCGGGCTGGGGCCACGGCGTGTTGACCTAATATGGTCAAAGGTTCATGCCCTGCGGGTATGGTCTGCGGCCAGCTGGCCCACTGATTGAGCCACAGCACCGGGTCGCGGAAAGGTTTCGATAGGTATCTGAATTGGAGAGTGGAGACCGTTAGCTTGAACTTGAGTGTAGTCGCTCTAGGTTTGAGATGCCGTATCACTGCACCGTTTTTGAAAAGGGGAGAATTATTCAGTTGAGTGATGAGGGTAGAACGGTTGCAGAAATCTTTAGGAGGGTTGGTTTAGGAGGTTGTTTTAGGAGGGGGCGGTTTTACGCCCCCCCCCCCCCCGTCTAACTCGACTCCTGAGCGTCGTAGAGACAAGCGGTAGGCGGCGTTCGAAAGAGCGATACAAAACGTTTTTACTTCTGATCCTTTTTTTTTAAATAGCTTTTGATCCAGACAAGATAAAGGATCGATTCGAACGTCATCGTTCTTAGCTTGTCAAAGCGCATCGAAAGCTATATCATGTGACCTCGAAAGGTCAAGTTGAAAATTTGACCTAAGGTCAAGGTCATGACCTGACTGAAATAGGTCATGTTGCATATCATTCGATCCGCATTGATCAGACAAACATGATAAACGTCGAACGGAGTCTCTATTTCTATTCACTCAAAAGTTATTGCAGAAAACCCCCGCTGGTGACCTCAGGTGACCTCGGATGACCTAGCGACACCTTCCAAAGGTCACCGGTGACATCTTTCGGTAGAATGACCACCAGGGACCTGCAACACCATGATCCTGAATATATTGTGTGGATCGGGTGGCATTCAGATGAAGTTGAAATTTATCCCATTGACTTATAATGGGGAGGTTGTGAGATTGACCTGACCTCAGGTCATAGATAAAAAAATCCGAGACATACATTTTGTGGATATTGTCACCCTGACTAACTCCTGAAAGTTTCATATCGATCGGTCAACAGTTGTAGCTTTGGTGCAAGTTAAAACTTTTTGTGACGTTAGGTCACTCAAACCGACCTGTTGACCTGACCTTAAGTCATATAAGGTCAAAATTCGCACACAGTATGCGCAATAGATGGAAAAACAGGTATGCAAAATTTGGTGGCGCTGCACGCCGCCGTTTTTCGGCTATCTGCGAAAAACCTGGGGGGGGGGGGCGCAAATCGCCCCCCCCCCCCCGGCCCGGCGCAGGTTAAGATTTTCAGTAGATATGGCTTAACGCTTTCCCGTTAATGCCAAAAAAAATGAAAAAAGTTTTTGCTTTATCAAAAAATAACCGGTCATAATTCGATTAAATATTTCTCTTGCGCTAATCATCATATCACCAAGCATTCAATCGTATCAAGAGCAACCATCTTAATTTTTAGGTCAGCGACCCCTGTTGAAACACCAGATAATCCTTTGATAGCTCATAGCACTCAGTCTACAATTTACACGGCGCATGAAAGCACAGCCATCATTAGACCATCGCGCTGCCCTCACATTCGTTAGATTCCTAACGCATCCGCTTGCTCGCCTCTCCCGGCCAGACCCGCCGGAGCACCCGGCGGCGAGGCCGTCCAGTGCTGGTCTGCGGTCACTCTCCAGCCGGCCGCTGTGTAGCTCCGCCCCCCGCGCGTGACGTCACAGGGCCGCCAGAGCCGCCAGGGCAGCTGGGGTGTGGGCTCAGCCAACTATCGAATCCAGACCGTAGCGCCACTTGGCGGCCGGGAAAGATACATATTTGACCGACTATACGTACAGGCATTATCATTTTCTATGTGAGGCAAAATCATTCTATAATAGTCCAGCGGAGCAGGGTTACGGTTATTTACATCGGCCCTGAGGTAGTCGGCGCTCCTCTTCAGACCGTCGATGTCGAACCTGCCGAAGCCGGCCCTGGCCTCGGTGTAGAGGTTGAAGGCGTTCTCGTACACCTCGGCGGCCTCTCGCTGCGCCTGCTGCGCCAGCTCGCGCGTCTGCGCCACCAGCAGCTCGGTACTGGTCAGGCTGGCCGTCAGCAGGTCGATCTCCGAGCTGAGGAGGTGGCGGACCGGGCGGTCAGACGGCGGGGAGAGGTTAGATGGCTTCGGGGGAGGGGGACGGCACAGCTAACGGTCACTGGTCGGGCGGGGGGGGGGGGACTGGAGGGTCTGGAGTAGTGATGTCAATTACAGAAAATCGGAATACCGATACCAAACCAAATACCAACCAAAACCGTGAGGAAAGACCGAAACCGAACCAACCTAGGAACATGAGGCTAATACCAAATTTATACCGATTTATCAGCCTCTTATATATTAGTGAGGGTTCACTTCAATAGTTCACCAGTTCACCAAAATATTGGTATCCGATTGACATCTCTAGTCTGGAGGGACGGTCAATACAGACGGTGTCTGATGGGATTAAAACGACGTGTGGTGATAAATTAGATTAAGACGTCGTGTAATGGGACGATCACACTATACTTTTGATCTCCGGTGGATTGGTTAATTCAGTCAACCGGCATGGCTACAGTTTGGATTTTAGGTAATGGCCTAATGGGAAATACTGACGGCACAGAAGCTTAACCTGATGTGTAGGACCACCAACTGATCTGAGTCCGGAAAATTGGGCGACGTTGTGATTCTGTCTTTCCACTGCGTCACATCAACATAAAACAAAATAGGCGTTGTTCGAAACGGGTACTGAACGGGTCAAGTTGTGCCGAAAAAGTAAAGGTAACTCCGTCCGGATCGAGGTCGGGTCACCTTTTGGGGTCGGAACACAGAACGGCTGTCCGGCCGAACTGACCTAAGCTCTTATACTGAGCTGTAGTTGGTTGAGTTGTATTGGGGTGCTGTTCGCGGCTGCCCGGCGGACTGACCTGTAGTTGGTTGAGTTGTATTGGGGTGCTGTTCGCGGCTGCCCGGCGGACTGAGCTGTAGTTGGTTTCGTTGTGTTGGGGCGCTGTGCGCGGCTGCCCGGACTGACCTGTAATTGATTTATTGTGTCCAGCGCTGTGCGCGGCTGCCCGGCGGACTGACCTGTAGTTGGTCTGCTGTTCCAGCAGCGTGTAGGCCAGCTGATAGGCGGCCGTCGAGTTGGAGACGGCCAGCCCGGTGCGCGAGATGAGCGCCTTGGCCTCCTGTTCGTGCCGCTCGGCCAGCTGGCGCGCCTCGCGGGCGATCTGCGACATCTGGGCGCTCTGCAGGCCGAACTGCTGGGACTGCTTGATGGCCAGCAGCAGTGCGTCCTGGCCCTCGCCGTTCAGGTAGGCGAAGGCGCCCTTGAGCGCGGCCTCCAGCCGTGCAATGATCTGTTCGGCCTCGGTGATGGTGCGATCACACTGGCCGGTCACCAGCCGTGACTGGTCGATGAAGACGAGCAGTGTGCCGGCCTCCCGCTTCACCACCTCGATGCGCTCCTGCCGACAGGGTTTGGAGGGAGTTACATGCTGCCGGTAGGTATAATAAACGGAACAACATATGCTGCCGGGAGATAATAAACTGAACAACCTATAGTTCTGGCGGACAATATGCATATCGAACTAATTCTGAGCTGACAGATAATAAACGGCCTTACTCATACTGAGCTGGCAGATAATAAACGGAGCGACTCATACTGCCGGCCCGGAAGATAATAAAACGGGGTTACTCATACTGCCATCAGATAATAAACGGAACAACGCGTAATGCCAGCAGATAATAAACGGATCTCCCCATACTGCCAGCAGATAATAAGCGGAGCAACTCATACTGGCCGCAGCTAATAAACGGAGCAACTCATACTGGCCGCAGATAATAAACGAAACAAATACTGCCGGTAGATAATGAACGGCAGATAATAAACTACCGGCAGATAATAAACGAAACTTACCCATGCTGATAATGATCGGAGCTTGAGAGATGAGACGTTATGCAAATGCGTGTAGGGGAAGTTGGGGGAACGCCGAATACTTTTTTTCTGACGCCCGTAGCATGCAAGGTAGACAACATAAGCTATTCTTGTTGGCGTCATTCGAGAGGCCAGTCTTTTGTCTTTCAAACATACCAGGCGCATTTGATGAATTCGCATACCGTTAGGCGCAAAAACTAAAAATATCAAAGAACTGACTTTTTCGGCGTTGCCCCGGACTGCGGGGAAAGCCGAAAATGGGATAAATGATCTACGAGGAATGCCGACATTGATGTGTTGCCAATTTATCTCAAACTTTATCCAAAATTCATCAAAGCTGACACGCGTTTTAAGAGCTTGAGGGCGCTTGGTGCACACTGGAAGTTATAATTGTGTGATATAATAAGAAAATGCCAGGTAAATCATTCCTTATAGGTAACAGGCCGTTGTGCCGGCTGAAAGTGTAATTTGTTTGACTAAAAATTCGCGTTGCTATTCTACAGCAGTAAAGTTCACGTAGCGTGCTTTAACGTGCGTAATTGCACGTTTTCGGCATTAGCCCAGCCAGCCATACTTTCATTTGCAGGCCCATAACTTTTAAACGTGCTGTATAAATTTCAAATAGGCAGCACACTTATGCAAAGACATGCTGAAGATTACTTGACCGAATTGGCCAGAAAAACGGTAGCATAATGAGTAAGAAATGCAGCTTCAACGGCGCATGTAGTACAATGGAAACGTACCTTGAAAACGCTTTTGGCGCCCTCACAGCCGAAGTACGAGTATTCTAAATGACGACTCGTAACAAACATGCGATAATTGTAGTCACTTAAGCTTCAGAGCATCACTGAGACGTGGCATTCATGTCGTACGGTTATAGAAATATCTCGAATTTCGGCTTTGCCCCAACTCCGGCATTGCCCCAACTTCCCCTACTTCCCCAAGTTCAGTTGAAACCATTCGTTTTTACGCAAACACAAAGAAACTTAAACTGCAAATAAATTTTCAGTGGTCCAACCAAGCCTTTATAAATTGAAGCCATGTATGTTAATTATCTCAGATGAATAAGCCCTGCCTGATCTGTTAGGAGCCATCTTCAGATGACCCGGAGGGTGCGAGTCTCTGACTAATCTGTGAGTGGTTGACTCTAATTGACCAGGTCACTGCCCCCGGCTCACCCTGGTCTGACCCCGGCTGACCTTTGCTGACCCCGGCTGACCGCTAACTGACCTGGAGGTCGCCGAGCAGCAGGAGCGGCGACGAGCCGCGCAGCACGGCGCGCCGGGCGTCATCGTTGAGGTCCTTGATGTTGACGCGGAGGATGGAGATCTGGCGCTGGAACTCGCGGTCCTCGCTGGAGGACAGGTCCGTGCCGATGGTCTGTAGCAGGCCGTCCAGCTTGGCCAGGAGCCGCCGGTACTCCTCGACAGCCCGCTCCACCAGAGTGTAACATTGGTGACATTCTGTCGTCGGGGTCACAGGCGGGTCAGGTCAGTGGCAGGTCAGGTTAGGGTCAGGCCTGCTTCACCAGCGCGGCGTGTAGCACTGTTGACATTCTATCGACAGGCGTCTCTTGTTTATATAGATAGGTCAGGCCCCGGTCAATCTAACAGTTGAAGCATTTGATACTGGTGCAAGGGCCCGCACCGTTAGGGGTTGACCAGTAGGTTCCGCTGACGTTGAACCGTGTGTCTGCCTTCTTTCTTGGGCGTTAGCCTCAGCTACAGGTCATGTAAAAGCAGGTCATGTCTGGAAAGTGGTCGATGAAGATCATATTTCATACAATTAGATCTGGCGGCTCATTTTGAGGTCATTGATGCCTTTCTCGAGTCGCTCATTCAATTTCAATCGGGAGTTATTGACGGAAAAATTCGATGACCTCAAATGACCGTAAAGCGACATGACATGTTATGTTCAAAATGCAAAAGCGAAAGATCGCATTTTGAGAGGACGGGACATAACAAATCAGCATTGAGCAGTTAGGCGCTAAAAAGCAGTTTCTACAATGGGTTGGCTGTTGAGATATCTATCAAGAAGGAAGGTCCCTTGGCACCCGACCTGACCTCAGGTGACCCTATGAATAATCCGGAACATTTAAATGCAAGAACTAAAAAACTTTTGTTACATTGTTACACTGTTTGTTAAAAAAAACTTATAGTTATGTAACAATTAATCACTTACTTTATCTCTAACTGCATTTCGAACAATTATAACGAAGACAAACTTTCTCGACCGGAGGCCTGAAAAGCCTCCTGAGACGCTTTCCTATTAGACATGAGACAAGGCCGTTAACTTTAAACTATTTAAGAAATTTTCTGGTCATTCACAATGAACCGCCCGCGACAATATGCCTAAGCTGTATCTTTAGCAGACGGCTAAAGCATAAACAATGCTTTTAGCACCGGTGACGTGCAAAGTGCACACCTATTAGTTATACATTCCTATTCAAATTCAATCGATTTAGAAACGTCAATCTGGACAATGTGAGCCTAGATAACTTTTCTTGACACGCTTTACACCTGCACTCACGGCCTTTCACCTGGATATGCTAGCACCTCTGCTCAGTATCGTAACCCCTCGCCGCGGGGAGGGGTTACGTCGTTACGATAGCGAAGGGAGGCCTCCCCTTCCCTTCCTGCCTCGGGGCTGCCTGTCCGATCAAAGCCGCACAGCCGACACGTGCCTCTCGGAACGGACAGCGAGCTGCAGACCGGCGCGGGAACGGGCGCTCCCTCTGAGTAATCGCCCGAAATAGCGGCGAGGCAGACCGCGGCGGCCTACTGACCGAGAGCTAGGGCGACCGACTTACACACGCATGTAGCTCTGTACCTACTTACATGCATGCTTACGTATGGTGCCGCAGCTTCACTTTAGTAGGGATACATTAGGCATGGGCACAGTTAAGTGATTTCAGTTAATCTAATCTTCAGCTTGTGAGAATGAACTAAACGCATACAGGATAAGGCGCACACCTGGGAAGAGGGGTTCTGTGGAAACTAGTCATTTCCCGGTTTTCTTCTTTCGTTTGCCCCATATGCGCTGATACAAGTGCTAAAATGACAGACGGCGGGTACCATGACTGTGTTTTTATTTAAGCATATGTAGTTAGTGTCCAGATTGTTTAACCCCACTTTGTTCCATCTTTGATAAGGACCCTTTTAAAAGAAATATAGCTCCCAATTAGAGCGTAGCTGGACACTTCTTTGTTAGATAACATAAAAAGCACATCGACTTATCACAATTTACGTATTTCACCTTCACGAACTGGGGTTGTGCTGTTTCCAGGGATCGGCCGGCATGCTGACACGGCTCGGGCTGAAATGTGTTAGATTTTAACCCTCGCCGAACCTACTGGTTTCCTACATAAGCTCCGGCCGAAGGAGGGGGTGATGGCTACGACCCTCTCGCCGCTTCGCCCCTAATTGAGCCTTGCGGAAAAACGAGCGTGTGCGCCGTTACAAGACCCGGCGACTGGTACCGAATTTTGTTTTAAGGTCAACCAGTACCTCTGAGGTCAGAGCTGTGCATCAGGGTATGTACAGTTACGGGTTCGGTTTTTGGTAAATAACTTCGCCAGAAATAGTCGCAAATAGCCGCTATAGCCGCGATTTTGTTACCGTTGTGTTCTCCATACTCAGGTGCGTCGAATGCTATATAGGTGCATTAGGTAGGTAGGTGCCTAATTTTTGTTTGGGTGCGGTCAACTTAAGAAGTTGACCTAGGGTCAAGGTCAGGTCAGAGCGGCTAAGGTCACGAATCTGGTCAAAGGAGGTCATATTGCATACCTATTATTCGCTTTGGCAGGTCTTCCCAAGTCCATTGGTACTTTTTACGGCTCGCTAGCTCAATTCGATCGGGAGCTATCGACGAACAACTTATATGACCCTTGTGACCTCATAAATAGCTTCACACAAAGTCAACGACGCATAAATAAAGCATTGAAGCTTTTAGGTAGTGCATGCAATCACGATTCCATGTGCTTTAGATAGTTTTATCTCATTTCTAGCGCCAAAATAACAGTTTCCATGAGAGGTTGCGACATTTTAGGACCGTGCAGAGGCTCACTTATGCCGTCACAGGTCAGTGACCTGACCGGACTGAAAATGTTGTTGGTGCACAAGAACCGACTTGAATCAAACGTCATTTGGGTATGTCAAATTTTAGCTATCTCCAGTGTGTTCAGAGTTATCGCGAAAAAAACCTATGTGGGCAGTGGGCACCCGCCCTCCCCTTGGCCGGCGAGGGTTAATAAACGTCAATAACCGCCCGTTTAATTATAACCCGTCAGGGACAGTGCGAGATCTGTCACGCACTTGATCAATGATCAGTTATCAATGAATCACTGAATCAAAGATCAGCGTGTAACATTTACAGATGGCGCTTTTCTATCGCACATAGCGACACGGGCCACGGACCACGGACTAACCTGGCGTCTGCTGCTGGGTAGCTGCGCGCTGGGCGGATGCTGTGCCCAGCAGCAGCAGTACAGCCGACAGCAGCAGGAACTTCATACTGCAGGACAGCTGATACAGCAGCTCTGGTCACCGCCGGTCACGGGGTCGGCGCACTGCCGACGCTCCCTCTCCGGCAGTGTGTCGACGGCGCACCTCTGTTCCTCTATCCAGATCACCGGTCACCACTGCCACAGGGACGTTCCGACTGGACTCGGCGCCGGCACGGCGTCGGCACGGCGGCTGCACGGCGGCCGGTCGGCGTGCTGCTCCTCTTGGCACGACCGCCGGCCGGAGCCCTATAAATACTCGTCCCGAGAGCCATCTCACAGAGCTCAGTTCACCTGCCAGTGTCAACAGTGGCCCCGGCGGCGCGGCCGTGCGTCGGCTCCGATAGGTACTACTGACAGGTGACAGGGTCGGGGTGGGGCTCCATGACTGATGGATTAATTACACTTTCATGTTTATGTATCGGGGAGCGTCCACGTGGTGGGTATTCTGCATCCCGGCTACACATACAGTACAGTACGATGTAGGCCGGTGCAAAATAGTGCTCTGGAAGTAGGGAGTAGGTGCCCCAGGATTACGACTTCTTCATAATATAACTATTCTATTTTCATTACTAATAGACAGTGGAGGTTTCCGTATCCGACAGACTCGAGAGTGGAGGCTCCTGTATGGAGTACACATGGGCATAGGCTCGGAAGACGGACTGGAGGCTCCCGTATTCCCATAGACTCGGGAGTGGATATTCCTGTATCCGACATGGAGTGGAGGTTTTCATTAGTAGCGACAGCCTCGGGAGTGGTCAGTGGAGGCACCCAATGGTGCCCAATGGTTTTGTTGTATGAGGGAACCTCATTCGGATATCAACTTCCAACAGATACAATATATTAAAAAAGTAAGTTCGATATTGAGCTTTGATAGCTAGACCCAGTTGAACATAAAATCATCACTGGAACGTTTGGCATACTCACCACACCTGTGAGAAATAAAGACACGATGGCTCAGAAATACTCGGAAGCGTATTTTCTCACACGTTCTGTACATTCAATTTCATCTGATCAGTCGGAAAGGCGTGGCGGCGGCATTACATTAGAATTCATGTGACCAGTCGGATGTGTGGCGATGGCAAGCAGAATGCGGACATCAGCGTGTTAGTGAGCTCAGTAAAAATATGAACTTGGTAGACGCTTCAAGAACAGTCGAGGGCTTCACAGATTTCGATTTTTTTTTTTTTGTGGACGGACTACAGAACCGAATGGTTTGCATTTCTTCGAGTGATGATACTCTCTCGCAGCACCTATTCACGGTGTTTACACGACAAAAGAACACGCTGCGGACTATTAAGTACCCAGGCGACGTATGAGCGAATTTAAATGTGTCTCGCTGTGTTTTTGTATAACAATAGCTATGAGCTTGACCAGACTAAACTAATCAGGAGTCATGTCCCGGGAAGATCACAGAGTGCAGTTAAGCTATATCTGCAAATATTACCCCGGAATCATGCCTCTTCCTTGCAATTACTGGCCATTATGACATGCTACCACAATATATGACGTGTGTTTCCACTTAAAAATACACAACTATTTTGTGACATATAGCTGCATTCATCAAACACAGGTGTCATTTGCATCAAAAGTCGGGAGCACTTTCTTCACATCCCACAAAACACACGAGCAGCATCAATTCACGCTACTGTATTGCAAAAATGGACACATTCACACTGCGATTCGACATGCCCTGACTCGGTTAGCCCGCTCCGACTCCGTCCATCACTGAGCACACGTTCACCTGCCATCACAAGCCGTCGGTTGGTCCAGAGCACCCCTGCTGCGCGCACTCCCCTCTCTAGAAGCCGGCCGTCCGCGCCGCGGCTACCGGCCCGGCCGGGGTCATTGTTTAAGCAGGTCATCGGCGGCGTCGGGGGTGTAAAAGAGCCGGCAGCGCTCCCGGACGATGGTTCGGCTCCGGTCGCGCACCACCTCCTCCACGTGAAGCTCGGAACGGTATAGCCGCAGCTGAAAAGGACACGGAAATGTGTCAGCCGCACGAATTCCCGCGACATGGGAGGGATGCTCCTAAGGTAGGATATAAGTAGACGGTGTGGTACATAGTACCGAGTATATCAGCGCATGTTTCCAAATATACATCGTATTTTCTCCATGCGTCAGTGTTTTCCCGAAAATAAAGTCATGCCATGGAAGTGATAACACGAGCGTTTTCTACGGCTGAATGCGTTATGAAAATCATTTCCGAATCATTATCACCGTATGTAGCTAGCTACCGTCTAAATATTAATTTCCGACCCCATGCCCATGCGGTGTCGGCCCGGCGCGTGGTCAGCTCTCTCTCACCTTGGACTGCTCGCGGCGGAGGTCTCTCAGCAGGTCGGCGTTGTCCCTGCTCTCCTCGTTGGTCTCGCGCTGGGCCCGCAACTGGTCGACGCGGCCGGCCGTCTCTGCCACGCAGCGCTGCAGCGCAGACTCCCGGCACAGGTAGCTCTCCTTCAGCTGGCGGCCCACAACGGACATTCGCTGCAGTTACAACACTGCATTTACGAGCATGGTAAAACCATCCATCGAATAACGTAACCTAAAAATAATTACCTACTCTTTAAAGTGTTACAAATTCAACGTTCAAATAAACTATATTCTTGTGAATTTCATTAGTAACTCGGAAACCAAATCCATCAACAACGAATTACTATTAGGTCGTTCAATAAGTAACGAACAATCGGTCATAACTTCTTTATTTCTTTATTTAACACTTTCAAACTTTCACAGGTTATAGATCAGACATTTCTGAATGCAGCCTATGCCTCAAACCAGTCGCCGCCCGCCTGCACACACTTCTCCCAGCGTTCCGGCCAACGCCGGAATTCCGCCCGGAAAAACGCGTTTTCCGTCTTTTTCACCCAGTTCATGACAGCGCATATGACTTCAGCGTTGGTCTCGAAGTGTTCACCACGGAGGCCATCCCTCAGGGGACCAAAGAGGTGAAAATCTGAAGGAGCCAGGTTCGGAATGTAGGGCGGCTGGGGCATGATATTCAGCCCTGTCACGCGATCTCCTCGCGCGTGGCGTGAGACAAGTGCGGTCGGGCGTTGTCATGGTGTATGGTGATGTTGTTGACATCCGAGCCGCGCCTCTTCTTCAGGATTGCTTTTCTCAGTCTCCTGCAGGACTGTGATGTAGCGGCCCGCTGGCCATAGTCCGCCCGGGTTCAAGAAAGCCCACCAGGATGACACCATGACAACGCTCGTCCGCACATGTCTCACGCCACACGCGAGGAGATCGCGAGACAGGGCTGAATATCATGCCCCAGCCGCCCTACAGTCCGAACCTGGCTCCTTCAGATTTTCACCTCTTTGGTCCCCTGAGGGATGGCCTCCATGGTGAACACTCCGAGACCGACGCTGAAGTCATGTGCGCTGTCATGAACTGGGTGAAAAAGACGGAAAACGCGTTTTTCCGGGCGGAATTCCGGCGTTGGCCGGGTCGCTGGGAGAAGTGTGTGCAGGCGGGCGGCGACTGGTTTGAGGCAAAGGCTACATTCAGAAACATTTGATCTATAATCTGTGAAAGTTTGAAAGTGTTAAATAAAGAAATAAAGAAGTTATGACCGATTGTTCGTTACTTATTGAACGACCTAATATATAAAATACATAAATACGAAATACAACAATGAATGACTACCAACTCCAACCCCAATTTCAAGTCACACCAGAAATGTATTACATAATAAACATTAGGCACTTACCTTAGAGTAAAGATCTTTGCACGTTTGTGAAGCATCGACTTGGCCCTCAAATGACTTTGTTGGTAATGACTGGTTAAGTGCATAAATTATCTTGTCATCTATTATTCGAGACTTCTTTAAAACCTCCTGAAAACAGGGAAATTTAGTTATAAAGACAGTGACACAAACAACCTTGGTTCGAGCAATGAAATACTGGATCAACAACCAGTGTCCTGCAAAAAAGAAAAGGCAAGAGAATAGCAGATGCACAGCATACTATATAGTACTCATCTCACTTGATAAATAGCATCGACATTCGACAAAACATGCAATGTCAATTGGCTAAATTATCTAAACATATACGTTATATTTAAAAAGTGTAACGGATCAAGAAGAATCCATTATGCCGGTGAATCTTCATCCGTTACGCTGGCGCGAGCCTGCTGGCCTTTGATTGAGACGGTCCAGCTCTTCTGTTCTAGGGCAGGTCCGGGGGGGGGGGGGGGGGGGGGCAAACCCAATCACCGGTCCCTCGTTCACACAGCCCGCCAGTCACTGATCCGTTGGAGTCCCTCGTCCCAGCTCGTCCGCCCCTCGTCCCAGCTCGTCCGTCCCTCGTCCCAGGGACGTTAGGGACATTAGGTAGCAGTCAGTAGAGATGTCACATGAAGGCTTTCCAAGTGAGGAGAGACGCTGTAGGTTTGAAGGTTGTAGGGTATGTTTGCAGCTTAGTAGGTTGTAGGTTGTATGTTTTTAGGTTGTAGGTTTGTGGGTTGTGGGTTAGGTTAGGTCAGGTAAGGTTTGTTTAGGTTTTGTTAGAAAAAAGCACCTCCGTGTAAAGGGCCAATGATGGTCTAAGCTTTATTTTGTGTGGTCTATAATTGCTACAAATCGAGTTTGAATATTAGAAGTAAAAATTTGCTAGCAGTTTTTTATTACCAAAACTTAAACTTTTTTTTTCGGCGCGCGATTTCGTAGCGAACGGACGTGCCTGGTCGAGCTCCCGCCAACACGACATAACAACCGAGGACAAAGAGATTCCTATTTAGCTGATTCTCTTTTGCCATTGGAGTGACAAATCATTGCCTCCTGAGACATATATCACACAATTACACACACTTTCAAGGTGGAAGAAACATGGGGATAAGTAGATCCCCACCAAGGCCACGAAGAAACAACACGGGAAATAAAAACCCACCGAGTTTCACGAACCAGAACCCCACCGCTACCGCGCCGAGATCGTCGAAAAACGAAGGAAGCGGAAACGGTAATGTGAATGTGGATGGAGAAAATCGGAACAGAGGTGAGGAAATAGAGCCTAAGGGGGCCTTAGATCACCAAAATAAGAAAGGAGGCTCAGGCACTGGGTCTAGGAACACGGGTAAGTCCCTTGACATGCCAAATATGAATGGTGATGTTACAGTCAGATCCGTTCATGATGCTCAAACTGGCATGCCCAGCTCCTGTCCATCAGACATAAACAGTCCCAACCCAGCAAATGGCAAAGAGCAAAATCCTATGAAAGAATCTGATGCGGCTGGAGAGACGAGTAACGGGACCTCCGATATCAATGCCCAGGCGACAGATGTAGACGAACAAAGCTGCGATCCCGAGCCCAAGCAGGATGGTAAAAACTCTGAAGTGTCAAGCACAGGTCACAGGACACCAGTAGTTAAGCGTCTCGACAGTGACGCCTATAGGCCATGGGGGACTAGATCAGCTAACACGAGTCCTGATCCCGCTAGTGAAAAAGGGAAGAGCAGCACAAAGAAGGGAGTGGAAATCTGTCTTGGTGGACCAGGAAAACCAAAGTGCGGCAAAGAGGTACTTGATGGTGATGATGCTGCTGAATGCGAAAAGTGCATGAAGTGGTTCCACTGCAAATGTCAGGGACTCACGAAGGCAGCAACGTCAGCTATTAAAAAGTGGCATGGCACACTAATGTGGCTTTGCGACAAATGTAGGGCATCGCTGAGGACCCCTGTTGCCACTGGGGTGGTATCTGTCATGCAGGACACAGTGTCGAAGCTGGAAAAGATCACCCGCCACAATTCCAATACACTAAGTGAGGTGGTCAAGAATCAGGAGAGAATGTTCAGTCACCAATGTCAGATCCTTGACAAAGTATCGGGGGCCAGCAAAGACGAAAACCCTGCAAAGAGCTACGCAGAAGCAGTGAAAGGTGTCGGTGGAAAGATCGTCGAGCAGGTGTCAGAAATGATAAAAAAGATGCCAGCTGTGACAACACCCGTTCAAAGATCTAACGAGGAGATCGCAAGCATGATCGATGAGATGAACGATAAGGAGCGCCGAAAGCTCAATGTTGTCGTGCACAATCTACAGGAACCAGAAGGATTGTCATTCTCTGAGAAGGCTGAACAGGACAGTAGCAGATTCAAGGAAATAATAAAGGAGGGTCTGAAGCTCATGGTGGAGACTACAAAAACATTCAGAGTCGGCAAACTGACTGATGGCAAGCCGAGACTCTTGATAGTCACACTTGCCAACATGAATGATAAGCTCGAGATCTTGAAATCTGCTGCTTCACTGAGAGACTCCGCCTGGAGTAATATCTTCATCTCGCCTGATCTCACCTGGAAGGAGAGGGAAAAGGGAAGACAGCTGCGGAATGAACTGGCAAGGAGGAAGGCCTCGGGAGAGGAGCACATCTGGATCAGACATGGTAGGATTGTTCCCATCCCACATGAAAAGAGACGAACAGAAAGAAGCCAGGCAGATCAGCCCCCCACTCTGAGAAATGAAAGTCGTGGGAATCTGGCAAGACGAGATGAAGACAGACCTGTCCAGCAGAGTACTGGACAACCCTCTTCGATCTCCCATCACAAATGACTAGATGAAATGGAGAGAAGTGGTCGAAGGAAACTAACAATTCTGTACACAAACATTGACCAATACTTAAACAAGAGAGAGGACCTGGCCATGTTCATTTCAAACAACGAGCCTGATCTGATACTTTTGTGTGAGGTCATCCCAAAAGCCCAGAGCCATCCAATGCACCCTGCAACCATGGCCCTTCCAAACTATACCATGTTCCTGAACTTTGACCCTGTCAAGGATAAACTGGGACAGGGGGGCTCACGAGGCATCTGCATATTTGTCAGTGCAAAGTGGCAGGCTACAGAGGTGTCTTTCCCAGCCTGCTCTTATGAAGAACAGCTGTGGGTCAAGCTACCTTTGCTAGGTGCTGACCAGCTGCTCATAGGATGTCTGTACAGAAGCCCATCCAGCGACGGAAACACCTCAACTGACAACCTAATATATCTGCTGAAAACTGTTGTTTCCCAAAAGTTCTCCCACATAGTGATTGCGGGTGATGTGAATATGCCCCAGATCGACTGGAACGATCACTTCTCCCACGCTCCTGATGGTCACTACACCAAAAGGTTTGTTGAGGGCGTACAGGAATGCGGCCTCACCCAGCACGTAACCAAAGCCACAAGATACCGTGCTGACGAGAGACCAAGCAGCCTGGATATCATCCTCTCCAACGAAGAAGGCTTGGTGACCAACCTTGCTTATCACCCACCCATTGGCAACAGTGACCACATGTTACTACAATTTGAGGTGTGCTGCTACATGCAACCTGAGGTAGTGAAGGAGGGACGACTCAACTTAAACAAGGGCAATTATCTACGGCTTAACAACCTGATCAGACAGAGACAGTGGCGTGATGAAATGCATATGGATATGCAAGAACGCTACGACACCTTCAAGACCGAGTTAGCCCACCTGGTGAACGCATGCGTCCCCAAAGCGTGTCCAAGGAAAAACAGAAGCATCTACATAAACAGGGAAGCCTTGAGGCTAAAGAACAGGAAAAAGAAGCTCTGGGCCGCTTAGTGCTTACACTCGTGAAATGGACGACATCAGTCATGCAAGGTACGTTCGCTGCAAAAACGACCTCAGGCGACTCACCCGAAACCTGCGCAAAGACTTCGAAAGGAGACTGGCCTCCAACCTGAAAGAAAATCCCAAGGGTTTTTGGCGATACGCTGGCTCCAGGATGAAGACTACAAGCGGAGTTGAGAACTTACGCTCTGCGGACGGCACCCTAACTACGAACGACTGCGAGAAAGCGACGACACTGAACGACTTTTTTAACTCGGTCTGCGTCATGGAACCCCCCGGAGAAATCCCGGAGCCGAACAACACCTACCACGGTCCAGCTGTCACTGACATCGACCTCACCGTGGAACTCGTGAGAAAGAAGATGGCTGCCCTACGACCTTTTTCAGCCGCGGGCCCAGATGGAGTGCACCCACGGATCATCAAGGAAACAGCCGACTCGTTAGCAAGCACGCTTACCTCCATCTACCGATCGTCATTGGACACGGGGACCCTGCCGCAGGATTGGAAACTGGCAGATGTGGTTCCAATCTACAAGAAAGGAAGTAAAGATGAACCAGGGAACTACAGGCCAGTCAGTTTGACGTCTGTTCCGTGCAAGCTCTTGGAGTCGATCATCCGCGACCGGCTTATGGCACACCTCAAGTCAGAGAACCTGATCAATGACGCCCAACACGGATTCCGTCCAGGGAGGTCCTGCTCTACTCAGCTGATGCTAACGATAGAAGATTGGAGCAGCATGATTGAGAGCAACCGACCTGTCGATGTCATATACCTAGACCTGGCCAAGGCGTTCAACACAGTCCCACCTAGACGACTGCTGAGGAAAGTAGAAGCTCACGGCATCGGAGGCAAGATTCTGAGATGGATCGGAGCATTCTTGGAAGGACGGAAGCAGCGAGTCACTGTTGGGAGCAGCAAGTCAGACTGGGCTCCTGTACCAAGCGGTGTTCCACAGGGTTCAGTCCTTGCTCCACTGCTCTTCACGCTGTACGTGAACGACCTGCCGGAGCCGCTACGCTGCGGGATAAAGATATTCGCCGACGACAGCAAACTCTATCGACCTATCTGCTCTCCGTCCGACTCGGCATCCCTGCAGGAGGACCTGGACGCGGCACTTCACTGGGCAGACAGGTGGCAGCTGGCATTCAACCCTGGAAAGTGCAAGGTGCTCCACATCGGCGGAGGCAACCAGCACCACACATACCGGATGGGGGAACTACAGTCGCGGAGTCAGATGTCGAGGGAGACCTTGGCGTCCTCATGGATACCCAGCTCAAATTCCGGAAGCAGGCTGCTGCGGCCGTCAGGAAGGCAACACAAGTGATGGCAGTGATTCGTCGGTCCTTCCACCTGCTTGACAAATCAACCCTCCCCCTGCTCTTCAAGGCCCTTGTCCGACCCCACCTTGAGTACGGGAACCTAGTGTGGGGTCCCTTCAACCGGGCGGACCAGCGGCTGGTAGAGCGGGTGCAGAGGCGGGCGACCAAGCTGGTTCCCGATCTTCGACACCTCCCGTATCGAGAGCGTCTGAAAGTGCTGCAGCTACCAACGCTGTACTACAGACGGAGGCGTGGAGATATGATCGCGGTTTATCAGCTGCTCCGCGGTGGACTGGACATGGACCCTCGCAACTTCTTCGAGATGGCAGCCGACAGAACTCCTGCTACAAGAGGACACCAGTGGAGACTAGCCAAGCCGCGAGCGGTCTCCAGGATTCGACGCAACGCGTTCTCCATCCGGGTCATCAACGACTGGAACAGCCTACCGCCAGTGGTCGTCGCATCCGACACCCTGAACCAATTCAAAAACCGGCTTGACGCTCACTGGGCACACCATGCACACGACATCCCTCACGCAGATGAATAGTCACGCAGACGCAGACGCACGAGGAGCTCGACTAGAAAGGTTTCTAAAGGCCTAGTCTGGCCTATCCAAATTCTGTAGGGGAAAGTGGGTGTATTGCGCCCTCCTAACCAATTGCGCCCACCCACATTCCCACGAATTCAATGGCATGTTCAGCATTTTGTTTTCGAAAACATTATTTTCACCACTGGATAGTTCCTTTTATGGCCCAAGCTCTCCGATGAAGCCAATCAGCAAGGCTCATTACGCCATCAAAGATATTACGGCGTTTTCTTAACTTTTTGGCAGCATTTTGAACCGTTGGCTATAAAAATAGGCGATACTTGTGTGATTTTGAGAGTGATATTTGGAAAGAAAAATCCTTTTTTCATTATATTTCACTGAAACAGTAAACATCCTTTAGCATCTTTATGGTAACTTCTACGCTTTTATTAAAAAGTACCTCAATTTCAATTGCGCCCATGGCAATTGCGCCAGGGGGGCGCAAATAGAATAATGGTGTAGCTATTGTATCACGACAGTATGAATGCATCATTAACTGATTGCAATAAAGAAGGAGTTTTATGTCAGGCAGGGGAGCAACCCGCCATCGTCAGTCCAAAAATTATTTCTCTCATCGAACTTATAATGTAGCTGCCATTTGGGCTATGAACTTGCGGTGTAATTGACAAAATACGGCATTTTTAACATGGACACAGGCGTGAGAGGTGACAGCTTTGATAGAAAGTAAAAACTGATGTGAAAAAAGTTGTAGAAGCAATACAAAATATTAATTTTGAGAGAAACGATTGAAAATATAACCGTCTAGGCGCATACGTTCATATATATCTAGTCGGTTACATCAAACGTTTTCGTTCCACTTCACAAGCATACCGGACACAAGTAAAGTTATTTACCTGCGCAAAAAAACATCGCAATTTATATCTACATTTATTATGTATCGAGCTTGATTCACATAATACATGTTCAAGTAAGCCACAATGACATAGAATGCCGGAGTGTATGCTTTCCGTCTCCTTTGCTTAGCCATGTTAAAGGATAGGGCGCAATTGGATTCTAATTGCGCCATCCCCCTGGCGCAATTTACAGCAGTTGTTGGTAAATGCGCCCTTTTGCATGGTTCTGAAAAAGCAGCTGTCAGAAGCAAACGAAACATTCTTAATTGATCGGGAGGCCCTTAAATCGTAGCCAATGAGTTCCTCTTTAAAATGGTTACCAGTGCATGCTTACATCTCAAGTGGTTTTCTTACAATTAGCGTTTTTCCTTAAGGTGGCGCAATTCACCCTCCTTCCCCTACTTCGTAAGTAAGTAAGTAAGTAAACTTTGCCAAAAATAGTTTTCCAGCTCAAATTTGGCATGTTGGTAACAGACTAATACGTCTGTAACATATATTATGTAACATATATTCCAGCTTCTTTAAAATTATGCACAAAATTTGTACACATTCACACACACACAAAAAAACAAATTCATACACATAACTGGGCGTTTTCAAAGAATAAATTGATTATTTACATGCTAAGACTCAAAATAATTTCGTCACAAATGCGCCATATATGTCTCAGACAGCACGCGATACGTGCCACAGCTCTCCCAACAATCAATGGTTAATGTAATAAAACATTACCTGGAAGGCAAGGAAGTCAGCGCATCCGATCGATGATGGATTGACAGCTTCCATTGCCCCGGAACTCATCGTAGGCAAAGACGGTTAGTTTTCATCAAAGTAATGATGAGAGATCCCCTCCCGCCGGTCACTCCGCGTGAAGGAAAAATCGTAAGTAATGAGACACGATGAAAAACTTTGAAGACTTTATTGAGAAGAACACCTAAGAATCTTCAAATAGTTCTGCGTTTCTGCAGTCTGCCCGGTGTATATGCCGTTTATATGCAATAATAATTGTGTAAAGATACCTTGGTTTATCGTCACATATTTCGGACTGCATGAAAATATTCTTCTATTCAATTTATCGTACATTCGACGAGCATTTGTATGCTAAAAATTTGGTTGAAAATGCTTAGCATAGGAAACAGAGGCAACAAAAGTTCTGAGTTTTTTACCATGGTGACCAGCTAGTGGAGAGGAAAGATCACAATTGCCTTTTCGAGAGTCCTGAGCAAGGCAGGTCCTGAGCTTCTCATCTTCAGCTTGTTAGCTTCATCGGCCCACTTGTCAAGAAAAAGCCGAGAGCAGAAGTCAGAAAAAAATCTTAGAACATAGAGAAAAATAATAAAGTCTTTTGCTGCGTGAATTCTCAAGTGACAGGAAAGGGCGGCAGGAAGCTGCGGCGAGTGCGTCTAGCGGCTGGTAGGGACAATTATGTGACAGTGCTTGCGCGGTTTATACAAACTGAATTATCGCTAGGCTACTAAATTTGATATGTAACGGAAGTTAGCAGGGATTCAGCAGGGGTTCAGCAGGGATTCAGCAGGGATCGACGGCCCCTACGATTTCGCTGAATTTTGGTGGAGAGGTGCAGAATGGTGTCCTCTATCGAAAATCCTAGTGCCAAAATGCGGGGAATCCATCAGGGGGGCCACAAATCCCAAAAAACAGTATGCCCTCAGGGCACAATCGACGAACTTTGGAAACCCTACTTCTAGCCGTCAAAACAGCTAAAAATGCACGTCATTCGAAAGAGGACAAAATTTTACGTGCAACGGTACCAAATTTAGGGGGCTAGCGCCCCCCTGAACCGAACAAAACAGCATCAAATATATGGGCCCGGGAGTATGCCCTCGGGGCATAAATAAACGTTTTCAACAATTTCAGGCCTATAACATCGACAAAATCCAGCAATATGCACATCATTGGAAAGAGCGTAATTTCCCAAACAAAAAACCCAAGTAACATTTTTCGATGGGGCCCACGGGACCCAATTGAAATTTGGGGCCCAATGGGGCGGCCCCTACGATTTTCTTCAAAATTTGCACAGACACTCTCCTGGGCCCCCTCTTCAATCTGGCTGAAGAAACCTACCGGGGAATCCAAAGGAAGGGGCCCAAAGAGGGCCCCAAAGAGGCCCTTTCTAAGTATTGCCCCTAATTTCGCGACCAACCCCGGCAATATGCACATCATTGGAAAGAGCGTAATTTCCCAAACAAAAAACCCAAGTAACATTTTTTGATGGGGCCCACCTGGGGCCCACGGGACCCAATTGAAATTTGGGGCCCAATGGGGCGGCCCCTACGATTTTCTTCAAAATTTGCACAGACACTCTCCTGGCCCCCCTCTTCAATCTGGCTGAAGAAACCTACCGGGGAATCCAAAGGAAGGGGCCCAAAGAGGGCCCCAAAGAGGCCCTTTCTAAGTATTGCCCCTAATTTCGCGACCGACCCCGGCAATATGCACATCATTGGAAAGAGCGTAATTTCCCAAACAAAAAACCCAAGTAACATTTTTCGATGGGGCCCACCTGGGGCCCACGGGACCCAATTGAAATTTGGGGCCCAATGGGGCGGCCCCTACGATTTTCTTCAAAATTTGCACAGACACTCTCCTGGGCCCCCTCTTCAATCTGGCTGAAGAAACCTACCGGGGAATCCAAAGGAAGGGGCCCAAAGAGGCCCTTTCTAAGTATTGCCCCTAATTTCGCGACCAACCCCGGCAATATGCACATTATTGGAAAGAGCGTTATTTCCCAAACAAAAAACCCAAGTAACATTTTTCGATGGGGCCCACCTGGGGCCCACGGGACCCAATTGAAATTTGGGGCCCAATGGGGTGGCCCCTACGATTTTCTTCAAAATTTGCACAGACACTCTCCTGGGCCCCCTCTTCAATCTGGCTGAAGAAACCTACCGGGGAATCCAAAGGAAGGGGCCCAAAGAGGGCCCCAAAGAGGCCCTTTCTAAGTATTGCCCCTAATTTCGCGACCAAGCCCGGCATGTGCACATCATTGGAAAGAGCGTAATTTCCCAAACAAAAAACCCAAGTAACATTTTTCGATGGGGCCCACCTGGGGCCCACGGGACCCAATTGAAATTTGGGGCCCAATGGGGCGGCCCCTACGATTTTCTTCAAAATTTGCACAGACACTCTTCTGGGCCCCCTCTTCAATCTGGCTGAAGAAACCTACCGGGGAATCCAAAGAAAGGGGCCCAAAGAGGGCCCCAAAGAGGCCCTTTCTAAGTATTGCCCCTAATTTCGCGACCGACCCCGGCAATATGCACATCATTGGAAAGAGCGTAATTTCCCAAACAAAAAACCCAAGTAACATTTTTCGATGGGGCCCACCTGGGGCCCACGGGACCCAATTGAAATTTGGGGCCCAATGGGGCGGCCCCTACGATTTTCTTCAAAATTTGCACAGACACTCTTCTGGGCCCCCTCTTCAATCTGGCTGAAGAAACCTACCGGGGAATCCAAAGAAAGGGGCCCAAAGAGGGCCCCAAAGAGGCCCTTTCTAAGTATTGCCCCTAATTTCGCGACCGACCCCGGCAATATGCACATCATTGGAAAGAGCGTAATTTCCCAAACAAAAAACCCAAGTAACATTTTTCGATGGGGCCCACCTGGGGCCCACGGGATCCAATTGAAATTTGGGGCCCAATGGGGCGGCCCCTACGATTTTCTTCAAAATTTGCACAGACACTCTCCTGGGCCCCCTCTTCAATCTGGCTGAAGAAACCTACCGGGGAATCCAAAGGAAGGGGCCCAAAGAGGGCCCCAAAGAGGCCCTTTCTAAGTATTGCCCCTATTTTCGCGACCAACCCCGGCAATATGCACATCATTGGAAAGAGCGTAATTTCCCAAACAAAAAACCCAAGTAACATTTTTCGATGGGGCCCACCTGGGGCCCACGGGACCCAATTGAAATTTGGGGCCCAATGGGGCGGCCCCTACGATTTTCTTCAAAATTTGCACAGACACTCTCCTGGGCCCCCTCTTCAATCTGGCTGAAGAAACCTACCGGGGAATCCAAAGGAAGGGGCCCAAAGAGGGCCCCAAAGAGGCCCTTTCGAAGTATTGCCCCTAATTTCGCGACCAACCCCGGCAATATGCACATCATTGGAAAGAGCGTAATTTCCCAAACAAAAAACCCAAGTAACATTTTTCGATGGGGCCCACCTGGGGCCCACGGGACCCAATTGAAATTTGGGGCCCAATGGGGCGGCCCCTACGATTTTCTTCAAAATTTGCACAGACACTCTCCTGGGCCCCCTCTTCAATCTGGCTGAAGAAACCTACCGGGGAATCCAAAGGAAGGGGCCCAAAGAGGGCCCCAAAGAGGCCCTTTCTAAGTATTGCCCCTAATTTCGCGACCAACCCCGGCAATATGCACATCATTGGAAAGAGCGTAATTTCCCAAACAAAAAACCCAAGTAACATTTTTCGATGGGGCCCACCTGGGGCCCACGGGACCCAATTGAACTTTGGGGCCCAATGGGGCGGCCCCTACGATTTTCTTCAAAATTTGCACAGACACTCTCCTGGGCCCCCTCTTCAATCTGGCTGAAGAAACCTACCGGGGAATCCAAAGGAAGGGGCCCAAAGAGGGCCCCAAAGAGGCCCTTTCTAAGTATTGACCCTAATTTCGCGATCGACCCCGGCAATATGCACATCATTGGAAAGAGCGTAATTTCCCAAACAAAAAACCCAAGTAACATTTTTCGATGGGGCCCACCTGGGGCCCACGGGACCCAATTGAAATTTGGGGCCCAATGGGGTGGCCCCTACGATTTTCTTCAAAATTTGCACAGACACTCTTCTGGGCCCCCTCTTCAATCTGGCTGAAGAAACCTACCGGGGAATCCAAAGAAAGGGGCCCAAAGAGGGCCCCAAAGAGGCCCTTTCTAAGTATTGCCCCTAATTTCGCGACCGACCCCGGCAATATGCACATCATTGGAAAGAGCGTAATTTCCCAAACAAAAAACCCAAGTAACATTTTTCGATGGGGCCCACCTGGGGCCCACGGGATCCAATTGAAATTTGGGGCCCAATGGGGCGGCCCCTACGATTTTCTTCAAAATTTGCACAGACACTCTCCTGGGCCCCCTCTTCAATCTGGCTGAAGAAACCTACCGGGGAATCCAAAGGAAGGGGCCCAAAGAGGGCCCCAAAGAGGCCCTTTCTAAGTATTGCCCCTATTTTCGCGACCAACCCCGGCAATATGCACATCATTGGAAAGAGCGTAATTTCCCAAACAAAAAACCCAAGTAACATTTTTCGATGGGGCCCACCTGGGGCCCACGGGACCCAATTGAAATTTGGGGCCCAATGGGGCGGCCCCTACGATTTTCTTCAAAATTTGCACAGACACTCTCCTGGGCCCCCTCTTCAATCTGGCTGAAGAAACCTACCGGGGAATCCAAAGGAAGGGGCCCAAAGAGGGCCCCAAAGAGGCCCTTTCTAAGTATTGCCCCTAATTTCGCGACCAACCCCGGCAATATGCACATCATTGGAAAGAGCGTAATTTCCCAAACAAAAAACCCAAGTAACATTTTTCGATGGGGCCCACCTGGGGCCCACGGGACCCAATTGAAATTTGGGGCCCAATGGGGCGGCCCCTACGATTTTCTTCAAAATTTGCACAGACACTCTCCTGGGCCCAATCTTCAATCTGGCTGAAGAAACCTACCGGGGAATCCAAAGGAAGGGGCCCAAAGAGGGCCCCAAAGAGGCCCTTTCTAAGTATTGCCCCTAATTTCGCGACCAACCCCGGCAATATGCACATCATTGGAAAGAGCGTAATTTCCCAAACAAAAAACCCAAGTAACATTTTTCGATGGGGCCCACCTGGGGCCCACGGGACCCAATTGAACTTTGGGGCCCAATGGGGCGGCCCCTACGATTTTCTTCAAAATTTGCACAGACACTCTCCTGGGCCCCCTCTTCAATCTGGCTGAAGAAACCTACCGGGGAATCCAAAGGAAGGGGCCCAAAGAGGGCCCCAAAGAGGCCCTTTCTAAGTATTGACCCTAATTTCGCGATCGACCCCGGCAATATGCACATCATTGGAAAGAGCGTAATTTCCCAAACAAAAAACCCAAGTAACATTTTTCGATGGGGCCCACCTGGGGCCCACGGGACCCAATTGAAATTTGGGGCCCAATGGGGCGGCCCCTACGATTTTCTTCAAAATTTGCACAGACACTCTCCTGGGCCCCCTCTTCAATCTGGCTGAAGAAACCTACCGGGGAATCCAAAGGAAGGAGCCCAAAGAGGGCCCCAAAGAGGCCCTTTCTAAGTATTGCCCCTAATTTCGCGACCGACCCCGGCAATATGCACATCATTGGAAAGAGCGTAATTTCCCAAACAAAAAACCCAAGTAACATTTTTCGATGGG